GAAGTCGTCTTTTTACTTTTCCCTTTTTCAGTCGAAAAAATCATATGATTTCATGATCTTTTTTGATTTTATTATGTGAGAACTGATAAGTTCTATATTAGGGCGGCTATCTCCCCCTAATACTGCCTGGAACAACATAGCAGCCCGGAAAATTAACAACTTCTGTCCAAAATATCAGCAATACCGGGACTTTACTTAATCCCGAACATCAAAGATCCACAGAAAAACTTCGCAAACCTACTCTGCAGGGCACTTCTAGCAGATAAACGTCAAGTGTTTGTGTGACACGACATCATCAATATTTCTATCAACAGCCACCTCAAAAACCTTTACCGAGCTTGCACTGCAGAGGAATTGGCAGATATCCTGGTAAATATCAGCGCAATGAGAGTTTGTCTAGAAAACGACAGTATACCTATTTTTGAGGTTCAGGATACCGGAAATTGCGAATAGCAATTTCCCGCTGCTATTTTTGACAACTTTCCCGCGATTGTAGTTCGAATCTTCTCTTATTTTCTAATATTTTAAGTTGTCGCGAGAAACTTGAGCATGACATCCTCAATTCGAATTTTTGAAAAATTCCATTTCACCCCAAAATCATGTCTTTTGCGTTGCTCAAGGTCAAACTTCCTAAAATGACCGACTGGTACATAAATTATTCATTTCAAAAATCTTGCAAAATATGTTCAGCCAGAAATTTTTCAGATTGAAAATTGTAATGTTGTTGTTGTTGTTGTTGTGGATTCTCAGAAATACTTCTGATGGGACTGCTCCCAGTTCATTTCTTCTTAAAACGTCTTCCATACATCCCTGCAGTTTCGACAATCACAAAACAGTATCCATGTGCAAGGATTCGCCTCATTGAATTTCGCCATTTGATAGGTCCACATAAAATTCAAGAGTCTGTTTTTTAGCCCCGTGGGATTGAAGAAATCTACTGTTCCAGGTAGATGATTGGCCACCCGAGACAGCCTGAAACAAAACTCAGCGCGAGCTTTTTCTGTGCGGACTTTTTTAAGGCTTAATGTCGGGCCATCATTTTGTCTTGTATTTGAGGCAGACTTGTTGGTTAATAGTCGTATTTGTAAATCGTTTTCACTGTGAAAAAAGCTCGATAGGTTCAATAGATTGCATAGCTGTATGAACATAGTAAGGGGCAATGTATTCGTTCGTTTTAACAACGTTAGATAATCACTCTCATAACTGTTTGTTACCCATTTTAGCGCTCTTTTCTGGAATCGTTCAAGTTTTGATAAATTTGCGCGGCATATATTAAAACACGAAGATGCAAATGTTAAAAGTGGTAAAACCGCTGACTTGTAAACACCCAATTTTACTTTCTGTGAAACCCCTTTTGCCACATTTCTTTTAGCAAAATAGAAAATCTGATTTGCTTTTTTCATTCTCGCCATTAGATGATTTGACCAGCTTAGGGTTGTATCAATATGTACCCCCAAATCTTTTATTGTTTCTACTGATTCAAGCATATGCCCATTGATTTGAATTGAATTTGAGTTTCCTCGAAAAATCAGCTCTTTGCATTTGTCAGGAGCCAACTCCATTTTGTTTCCGTTCACCCAATTTTCTAAAGCCGATATATCTGATTGTATTTCAAATTTGGATAGGCCCGCCGAGAAAAGTTTTAAATCGTCTGCATAAATGAAGGGAGTAGTGAATTTTAGCACTTCTGGCAGGTCATTTATAAAAATGCAAAACAGTAACGGCCCCAGCAGAGACCCTTGAGGAACTCCACTTGTAACTAATTTAGAAGAGGATGATACATTGTCACATTTTACCCACTGCGTTCTGTTTTCAAGATAGCTCGCTAAGACTTCCAAAAAACATCCCCCTACTCCAATATTCGCCACTTTTTTCAACAATTCAAAATGGGGCACTTTATCGAATGCCTTTGAAAAATCGGTGTAATAAACGAGCACTTCATCGTTCGGATTTTTATCCAGCGCCTCGTAAACTCGTTGTAAAAATGCTAACAGATTAGTTACAACCGACTTCTTTTTAACAAAACCATGTTGACTTGATTTCATGTATTTTTGAAAGTGATCGTAAAGTGGTTCGTACATGCATTTTTCGAGCACTTTAGAGATAATTGTTAATAACGAGACAGGTCTGTAGTTTTTTATTTGCCTTTTGTCGTCTTTTTTGTGTATGGGCGAAATAGCAGCACTTTTCCAGAATTTAGATACACATCGTAACCTCTTGATATTTTTGAAAATAGCATTTAAAATGGAGCTCATCGGTTTAGCTAAACTTTTCAAAAAACAAGGCGGCAGGCCATCCGGGCCTTTACTTTTTGTTACATCCAGTTTAGTCAACAATTCTCGGATTTTGTTTTGAGATATGTCAAAATTTATGAGGGAAGCATTTTCGCAAGCAATGTCTGTTACTTTAAAATTCAATTTCGGCGTAAATACAGAGTGGAAAAAATTATTTAATTTTTCGACTTTTTCAGCTGACTCCTTATATTTAATACCATTTAATTCCATTTCACGCGGTAGGCTCGACTTCTGCTTTTTCAAGTTTTTGAAATGTTTGAAAATCATGTTAGTATTTCGAGAACTTAAGATACTTTCTTGGTACTCTACTCGTTCTAGTTCCATATTTTGCATTAAACTGTTTTCAAAATTCGTTATCGTTTCCTGCAAATGGGGAGTAGGCCTTGAGTCGAATTGTTTTCGCTTTGTTTCTAGAATTTTAATCAAATTTGAAGTCTTTGGACTCACCCAAGGTGGTAATTTTTGTCTATGCATGGTTCGTTTTGGAACAAAACTTGAAATAAGAGTGTTGATATATTCGTACATTTCGTCAGACATTCTATCGATATTTGTAAAACAAATAGGTGAAAAGGGATATTTCTGCATATAATCAATCATGCTATCATAGTCCGCCGAGCAAAAACTATAAAAACTTTCTTTGACTGGTTTTTCGTCTTGAACATCTATTTCAATTTTCAGCGATATAGGTCTGTGATCTGTTATATCATAGCTTTTTTCAAAATTCGTGCAAATTTCAGCGAAACCCTCCAACCCCCTCATTAGAGCGACATCTAATATATTTGAACCACAAGTTGGAAATTCAATTATTTGATTCATTTCTGCTTCGTCTACTAATTCCAAAATTTCATTTTCATATATACTCGTGCTTTGGTTAATTCTCCAATCCGTTTGAGGGAAATTTATGTCGCCACATAAAAGAACATGATGATTTTTAATGGAGACAATCGAATCAAAAATCTTTTTGAAATCTTCAAAATTATATCTGTATTTGCTATCTTCTGGGGGATTGTATACGCAAAAAATCACGAAATTGAAATTGTTCACTTCTATTTGAACCGCTAATGCACATTCTGGTAGATCTAGATTTAGTTTATATGAATTAAAACAATCTCTTACTGCGATAAGAACACCACCGTGATTCGAAGTGTTACCTGTTAATTTGCGGTCCGCTCTATAAACAGAATATTCAAGTAGCATGAGTTCAGTGTCTTCAATTTGATCATTTAGCCAGGTTTCAGTCACTAAAAGTACAGATGCTGCACAATGAGATACAGCTGAAACAAATTTACTTCTTCTTTCAAATTTCAATAAACTCCTGGCATTCAACAGTACACAGTTTAGGTACATTAGTCATTCAGTGGCTTTTTTAGCATCAATGTTTACCAAAACATCGTCTTTAAATAATTGGAAGTTACGAATTTTCAAGCTGCTGGGTGGTACGTTTGCATTTATCAATTCACGTCTTTTTTGAAGGCATAAATTTTCTTTCTTTGAATCCTCATAGCTTAGGGCAGGCAATATAAAAAACCCCATATTTTTCAGGTCATCCCACATTTCAGCACTTTTGGCTAATATCAATTTTGCATGCCATTCACTAGATAGTGTAACCATAGTAACTCTTGGTTTAGAACGACTTTCTGAAAATTTTCCAAGTCGATGTACATTTTCCACGTTTGCATTCACTCGCAGTTTTTCAAATATCTCTTTTATTGTTTCGTTTGCGTGAAAAACATTTTCATTTTTTGAAAACTCTTTGTTTTCAGGAATTCCCTGAATTCTTAGACATTTCGACACATTGTGAAAGTTATTTGACTTCTTATCATCTGCTTTTTCATTCTGTTTCATGCTATTTTTCTTGATTAAGGCTTCTGCCTTCTCGGTGCTTTTTTCGGTAAGCGCATTCATTTTTGAATTGAAAATTTGTTCTATCGTGTTTTCGATTACAGGCTTTAGGGTATTGACGACCGGAATAAATTTGCTCTCAATAATATCAGTAGTGAACTTATCTTTAAGTTGCTGAATTGTAGCATCTTGAACAAAGTCGTCCCTCTTGTTGTTTGCTACACAGTCGTTGCAGAGAAGCATGGCCCTCGTTCCCAGTTCCCTGATTCCATTGACTGCCACAGGTGTCAAACCAGTGCATGTAGTATCAAGATGCATCCTTGCGTCACATCCCACACAGTGGTACATTTCAGCAGAAGACATCATTGGTTTACGGCATGATTTGCAGCTATGACGTTGATTTGACATGTTTATATGAAACTATAAAATCACTATTGTTTATATCAAATTTTGCTCCATTTACTTCTTTTTACGGTTTAACAATCATATAATTGGGTTGACTTATTTGTCATCAAAACCCACTATTGGCGTTTTTTTTTAAAATTTTCAACCTTAAAATGGTGAGGGGGAGGTTTTAGGAGGTTAAAAAAACATGAAATATGTTTGAAAATATACTGCTACTTCTTTCTGAACGGCGTAATCATAATCATTAAACGATTTGAGAGCTCTAGGTGTCTTATTCTCTAGGGCCCTGGTTGTTTTCAAGGGACCACTCTATCATACTAGTACCGTGTTTTCATTTATATGGTGTCTTAATTTGATATTCTTATTCCAGCTGTAATTTCATCGCATTTTAATCATTTTTTTCTAATTTACTTTACTAAATACTACTTAAGCTACTAATCTGTAATCTTCTTCAGATACAGAATGGATATTCCACGCCAGATATCATTCCTATCTTTGCCCAGTCTTGTGATCGAGCGAGTCATGCAGTTTCTGGTTGATCAGCCAAAGCTCGTACACTTGAAAAGTTGCGTTAACTTTATTTCTCCAGGTGTCATTGATGTCATGAGTCTACGCGCAACTTGCCAACATCTGAACCGAATAGGCATTTTTTCCAGTGCAGTTTTTTTGACTTATTATTTTTAAAATTAATTCTAAGTAGCCGCAAATTCTTTCATATGGTTAAGTTAAATTTTTCTAATGGTAACAAAAACAAGTTGAGCTTGAAAAAATGCTCGAATAGCTAAGGAGTCGAGGCTGCTGTTTTTCTTCGATCTTGAACGATATGCATTGAGAGGAGCGAGTGGATGGGACGATCTCATGCCTCTTTTGGATTCCGAATTCAACTGGAGATGCGAGTCTTTGGAACTAGAAGTGTCAGGAATTGAGAACGTAAAGAATCAACCAGTTCACCGTATCAAAGATTTGCTGTACCGAGTCGGAGTGCATGCTCGGTGCAATAAAACGATAAGACCTTTTTTTTAAAGGAAGTTTTCAATTGTAAGACCGATTTCTTGTTGCTGAGTCTGCCGCTTTTTCTTAAGAAATCAATCTTTCGAGGGTGGTTTTTTCAATCTATTTTGATTTATTCAGAGAAATCTAGTATGAAAAAAATTCAGAAAACTTGGATGCTGTCAGGGTACCCTCAAAGGATGCAGATCTTATTTTCAATATATGTGGTTTTGAATGATTTGCTAAAAATTCGAAACACCGGAGGTGCGTAGTACGCTAGTCATACATTAAAGATTGACAAAAAGTTGAAATTTTCAGGCTTGTAATTGGGTGCTGTCAGGGTATTCTCTGGGGTTCCAACTGTTTCGACAAATTTTGACTGCTAAATTTTCATAGTTTCCGTGATGTGACATTTTTATGGTTCAAAAAATTCTCAAAGAAATTATATTCTTAAATAGACAAAAATTGAAATCCTTAACTCGATAGTGTGAGTTGCTGCCAGGATACTTTCAGGCGTCTCAAATGGTGCCTCCAAATATGAATGCTCAAATCTTTTTAGTGTTCGAGATATGACATTTTTTATGACTTTTTCAAAAAATGTTCGAAGAAGTTGTATATTAAAATTTACCAAAAATTGAGATTATCTACACTATAGTCGTGTGAGGTGCTGTTAGGACTCTTTCATGCATTGCGAACCTAGCATCCAATTACGACTGCTCAAATCTTAAGTTTTGTTCCGAGATATGATATGATTTTTGAAATTTATTTATGAATTTGAAATTGCTAACCAGGTAGTCAGGTGCAGTCGAGTTACTCTCTGGGGTTGCAAATCTTGCCTCCAGAAGTGACTGCTCATTTGCTTCCGGTTTCGAGATATGACGTTTTTTCAAAATTTTTGAAACTTGAAAAAAAAGCGTTGGGAAATTTGAAATTCCAACCCTACAGTTAAGTGTTCTCTGGGTATACTCAAAAATTGCAGATGTTGCCTACAAATTTGATTGCTGAAGTCATCTTACTTTCACCCAATATAAATTTTACCTATTGATTCAGTTTTCTCTAATTGGTTCATGTTATTAAAAAAGCGCAGAATCTTAAAGAGCATCTGTTTTTTTCTTTGAAGTTTGAAAGTTGAGATTTTTTCAAGAAAGTCAGTGTTTTTTTAATGTTTACTTGTGTTCATCACTCTTTTCCAATCTTCAATTGGCTATGTTTGTACTTCATTTTTTATTGAAAACTTAAGCTATAAAGTAACTTCCAAATTCGAAACTTTCCACACTATTGCGGGATGCTCAAGGTACTCTAAGGTTGTTTGATATCAAAATATGACTGCTCAATGCCTCTTTCTTTCCTAGATATGACGTTTTTATCTCTTTTGAAGTTTTTCAAACGTTAAATTTCAAGTTAAGATTTTTCAAAACTTGAAATTGTCGACCATTCGGTGGGGTGATGTCAGTTTAGTACCAGTGGATGCCTATGTGGCCTCGTATCCCAATATTCTCGCTCAAATTTTTTTTCATATTTTTACAATTAAATCAATAAAAAAGAGCCTGTTACTTTAAAAATAAATATGCTGGATTATGAATCCTTTTAATGATTTTTGAATTGAATTTGTTTCAAATTATGAAGTTAAAGTGGTGGTTGGATGCCCCCGTCTTTTTTAACGGTTGCATTCCTTTCGGTATTTTTTTAATTATATTTTTTGTATAAGCACTTTCTTGTTCACTTATCTATACTATATTTAAATGCTAGTGACAGCTATCTCCCATGTTTAAGCTTGATAATTTTGCATGTTTAACGAAAGAATTTTTTCAGGTTTAAGCTATATCATATATTGCAATGCTTAAGAAAATTTTGTAATCAGTTTTACGCAAGGTCATGAATTTTTCAGTAATTTTTTTCGAGACCAAATTAAGTCTGTCTGTTTGTCTGTATACCTGCTTTTTTAAATTAATTTGAATATGTCTGTCTACCCGTCTCCTAATTTTTTAACGTTCTTCTATCAAATCTATTATCTATCTATCTATTATATATTTAAATGCGGGCTTGTCTATCTCGCCATGTTTAAGCTTTTTCATCGTATTTTTTTGCATGTTTAAGCTATATCGTGTATTGCAATGGTTAAGGTTTTTTTTATCGATTTTCCCGATTAAATTCAGTGTTTATTTCGTCAACTTTGTAGTTAGCAATCGTTGGATGTTGTAAGAGTCTTCCCAGGTTTTGCGATTCTGGCCTCCATATATGAATAACCAAATCCTTATAGTTTTCGAGATATGACATTTTTTATGATTTTCTCCGAAATTTTCAAAAACTTAGATTTTAAATAATTCGAATACGTTGAAGATCTCAATCCTGATGTTGGATTTTGTGAGGGTACTCTCAGGGGTTGCGAATCTTGCCTTTAATTATGGCTGCTCAAATCCTTGTAGTTTTCGAGTTATGACGTTTTTTTAGGATTTTTCTTTAATTTCAGAAAACTAAGATATAAGAAAATTCACTAAATTTGATATTCCCATCTCGTTGGTGAGGCTCTGTCAGGGTACTCTCAGGAGTTGCGATTTTTGTCTCCAAAAATGACTGCTCAAATCCTTTTAGTTTTCGAGATATGACGTTTTTTTTTTAAGGATTTTTAAGAAAAAATTTGAGAAAATTAAAATATAAAAAATTTCACAAAGTTTGATATCCCCATCTCGGTGGTGAGGCTCTGTCAGGGTACTCTCAGGAGTTGCGATTTTTGCCTCCAAACATGACTGCTCAAATTCTTGTAGTTTTCGAGAACTGACGTTATTTGTGTTTTTTTTTTTTCAAAAAAGTTTATGAAAAATAAATTTGTTTTTTTTTCAAAGTTTGATAGTCCTAACCTGCAGTTGGGGGCTGTCAGAGTAATCTCAGGAGTTGCAAATTCGGCCTCCAATTAAGAATGCTCAAATATTTTTAGTCAATGAGATACGACGATTTTGTGATTTTGTTTGGAAATTTTCAGAAAATCTAATTACAAAATAGTTCACTTAAGTGAAATTCCCAACCTTGTAGTTGTGTGCTGTCAGCGTACTTTCAAAGATTGCAAATATTGCCATCTAATAAGATTGCTCAAATCTTGGTAGTTATCGAGATGTGAAATTTTTTCTGGTTTTCAAAAAAATACCTCTTTTTAGAAAACTTAAGGTGAAATTTCTCAAAATTTGAATTTCCCAACGTTGTAGTTGGGTACTGTAAGAGTACTCTCAGGAGTTGCAAATCTTGCGTCCAAATGCGTTTGCTCAATTGCTTTTTGTTTTCCCCAGACGTGACGTTTGTTAGTTCATTTTAAATTTTTCGAAAAACTTCAAAATTTGTATAAAAAACTTGAATAAAAAAACTTAATTTGTAATTACGAACCCTGTAATTGGGTGCTGTCAAAGCACACTCAAAGAATGCAGATCTTATTTCCAATATATGCGGTTTATCATGAGCACCGGAGGTGCTTTTTACGCTAGTCTGTTTGAAACTTTGGAGGTTTGTTACACACTATTATAATTTAATTGGATTTTCACTTGACACATGTTTAAGAAGTCCATATGTTGACATGTTAAAATTTTCTACTGAAGTCAGCGTTTAAAAGATACAATTGTTGAAGTACGTCTTTATGTTCAAAGGAGCAGTTGAATGCAAGTTTTATCCTCCATTTACGGTTTTAATCATACATCTGTTGGAGCGCGAATGCCCCATAACCCTCCGTTTTTTTTTTCGTTTTTTCAATGCTGATGTTACAAAATTTGAAATTTGTAGCCTTATGTCGAGATGCGGCCGGATTAGTTCCAAGGTGCTGGAGTTCCTGCCTCAAAATTTTCACAAATTTTGAGATTCTCTAATTTATGGGGGGTGTGATTACACATGCGAAAGCAAATGTCTTGTAATGGAGAACTATAATTTTCCCCGCACAAACTTACAAATTTTCAACTGGCTTTATTGTTTATTATCAACTTCCAGGTTCCTTCGTTCTTGACCGAGAGGTCAGGCCGTCACCTTTGCACCCGAACTCATGGGTTTGAATACCGGCTGGACTTGGTTGGTTTTTCAGTATGAATGTAATTGAAATAATTGTTCCATTACGGACTTTCTAAGTTCTGCTCAAGTTTTGTCTTAGTAGCCGTACCTCGGATTTTTCTTGCGCTGTAAGCACGTATCATGGTAATTACAAGTGATGTTCATTGCAGTTTCAGGGGGGACTTGAAAATTTTAAAAACATTTTTTTTGGCTCAACTGGTGTCTGCTCAAAGGTTGTCGGCTTTTTCCCACTTCGTAAGTTTGTTCATTGCTAATTTTAAATTCAAACGTCTTTTTATTTGTATTTGATAAAAACGGAAGTTATAAACGTGTGGGATTGGTTTTTTTTACAGTTTTTATTTTTCTCAAAAACTTAACCAATTTTCTAAAATTGCTAAGGGCCTTCCCACAAATCGTTCTGTGGATTGAATCCAGAATCTGGGTCACATAATCCCGCACAGATTTTTTCGAAGGCTGCAGACAGAGGTGAACGGTATAAAAAGAAACTAACAGAGCATGTAGACACACAAAGGAGTAGATGGTTTTTCCATTAGAGGGGTAAAGAAGTCATTTTGGGAAGCTTTTTTACATACCGGTTACGCCCAAGTTTTTTGACACAAAAATTTACGGCCATCGTGAAAGTCAAAATTTTGACTTTTTGACCGTTTTTTGTAACTTTTTGATTTTTTTGAGAACTACCCTCCCAGTTTTGAGTTTGATGTTTCAATCGAAATTGCAGGTTGCAAGAGTCTCTTCTGCGTGAGTAGCCACTTTTTCACACGCAAAAAACTATGATTCTCAGACATGACAAGTTATTTGTTTTTTGACCGTTTTTTGGACTTAACTGGATGACTATCCTGCCAAATCTGATTTAAGGTTTATTCAAAAGAACAGCTGGTTGAAAGCACACTTGTTTCATTGGTTGCGCATTATTTATATTAGAAACAAGTTATGGCTTTCAACCAAATCAAAGCTTTGAAACTTTGACCTTTTTTGGAATATTCACTCAAAAACTACCGTGCCAATTCTCATGTTGTGTTCAATTGAGAAACCCGGTTTTCGGAATCTTCTCTGCTTAAGCGGCGACGACCTGCATTTTGCCGAAAAAAGTTATCAATTTTCGAAAGTTTTTGAACACTTGACCGTTTTTTTAGAAATATATTTTTTTGTGGTTTCAAAAGATAAAAAAAACATGTTTCATAAAATTTGAGTTTCGAATATGGCCTCTTATTATGACTGCTCGAGTCTTAATAATTTCTGATATACTTTTTGAAAAATTTCATAATTAGAATTTTTCAACTCTATTAAGGGGCGCTCTCAGAGTACTGCAAGGAATTTCAAATATGTTTTCTAATTATGACCGCTCAAATATATATAATTTCCACTATATCGAGACTTGCCGATTTTCATGATTTCTTCAAATTTTCAAAAGTTAATTTCCTAAGCCAACGATGCTTACTGGGTACTCCCATAGGTTGCAAACCTGATTTTCATTTTCCGAGATATGCTTTTTTCAACAGTATTATTGATCTTATTAATCAATTGTAAGTACTGGCTTATGAAATTGAATAGCTAAGTTAAGTTGATCAAGAATCTCGTTATAAAAATGATTTATTTCAATTGAAAAATGATAAAAATGAATTCTATTAAAAATAGTTTTCATTTTGAGCTACTTCAACAATATAGAAAGTGCAAAGTTTTATGCTTTTTGCTGTTAGCCACAATAAAGTTTTTCGTCTGAATTCAAAATACGAAAACTTATAATAAATGAACATGAAATTTAAAAAATATATGAAAAAGAACGCTGTTGGTAGCTCCCATTCAATTGTTTACATTTTCATTAATTTTCGTTATTCGTAATTTTCGTTTATATATATATATATATATATATATATATATATATATATATATATATATATATATATATATATATGAGAAAACAACCTCCAAGTTTTTAAATAGCAAAGAAGCGTTTTTATAGCTGCAACAAATTGACAGTTGGAAACAAAATTTTTCAGTTACATTAAACTTCGTCGTTTTTTGTTATACAAAACATTTTCGACAATCAACAATCTGATTGAAGCAGCCTAGGTACAAGTCACGTGCTAGTTTTTCGAATTTTTCGTCCAAATTACTGGTCGGAACATTTGGTGCTACTTTGATAGCAACCGGCAAAAATTTATGTGTTAAGCTTTGCACGTCGTCAGTTTCATTCATTGAAGTTTACCAGATTTTCTACTAACTCAAATTATATTTCAGTGGTAATTTTAATCGATTTTTTATAGTAAATATCTAATCATTGGCAATATGGGCAACCTTGAGATGACGTCGGACGTGGAATTGTGCAGTTTTAGGTTTAATTATTTTCGTACAGATTCGTTAACAGAAAAGGATGTTGCCTACAATTTGGCAATTACTAATTTGACTGAAAAATTTTGAGAAAGGAACCAAATCTGAAGCTAGCGTTTTTGTTGCTTTTGTTATGATTTGAGTTTGCAGCAAACCTCGTAAAGCGGCAATTCGTAACACGCGACAATTCGTAACAGGCGACAAATCGTAACAAGCGACAATTCCTAGCACTCATTTATGGGACAAACACTAATTTATAGCAAATCTCCATATTACTTCAAAGTTAATATTAAACTGAATGTTGACATTACGGAAGCTTTCATTTTTAAAATAAAGTGTAGATCAAAAGTATTAGTTTTTAAACAATTGAGCTGTTGCTCCTGACGTGTATCCTTGCCTAGTTTGTGTTGTTTTATGGTTGATCCTTTACAAGAGCTGGAGTCTCAATACGATCCAATTCATCGAACAAATTCCGTCGAAGTATTCTAATTTATTCAGAATTTCATTGCAGTTAGTGTGCCTTAAAGTCAGCGGTGAAAACGGATGGCCTGCATTTTGCGATGTACTAGTAAAATTGACCTCACTTTTGAGTTCGAAAACAGAAATAAAGCTGGAGGTTGGCCTATTCAATTTTCACCCGGCCGCAAATTTGCCACTGGAGTATGCGAATCTGATTAGAAAAATGCAGATTGACGATTTAAGCGAGGAATTTAATACCCGCCATCTGGAAGACTTCTATCATTATCCCACTACTGAAGCCAGGAAAACCCGCCAATGAGAGTGCCTCGTACCGGCCGATATCACTTCTTTGCCCCGCAGTCAAGATACTCGAGAAGTGCCTTCTCCCGATACTCCAGAAACACCTCAAGACGGCAGAACATCAACACGGCTTCAGACCGCGACACTCAACAGTCACAGCGCTCAATGAGCTATCAACTGTAATCGCAGACGGCTTCAATCAACGAAAACCCGCTGCCCGTACTGTTCTCGTTGCATTAGACCTCTCGAAAGCTTTCGATACTGTGTGTCACGCTACCCTCCTCAAGCTGATTAACGATTCCACGCTTCCAGGAGCACTTGTACGCTGGTTAGCCACGTACCTGCACGGTAGACAGGCCCGCACACTGTTCAGAGACACGGTGTCAAGCAGTCGTATTGTCAGATTTGGAGTTCCACAAGGATCGGTTGTGGCTCCTACGCTGTTCAATTTCTACGTGGCAGATGCTCCAATGCCTCCACCGACAATTTTCTTAGTATCCTATGCTGACGACTTCACAGTTTTCGCCCTTGGGACCGACATAGAGACACTAAGCAAAGACATCAACAGCTACCTGACGACGCTCTGCAATTTTCTAGACTCTAGAGATTTGGAGATTTCAACACCGAAATGTTCCGTCACGCTCTTCACGCCCAGCACCAAAGAACACAAAATCACACCAGACGTGAAGATCAACGGGAAAGCCCTCACTCTAGCGAAAACACCAAAAATACTAGGCGTCACCTTCGATACAGCCCTGACATTCGGCCCACACTGCAAACTAGCCGCAGCTAGAGGAAGGAGCAGAGTGAATATCTTGAAAGCGCTGGCAGGAACTACCTGGGGACAGAGCAAGGAAACCCTCATAGTAGCCTACCAAGCCTTCATCAGGCCCGTCTTAGAGTACGCATCACCAGTCTGGACTCCGATCGCTGCACAGACCCACGTAGAAACGCTGCAGAAAGTCCAAAACTCAGCCCTAAGAGTGGCCACAGGATGCACCACGATGACCGCTATCCAGCACCTGCACGACGAGACGAAAATTCTACCTGTCAGGCGGCATATTCGTATGAAAGCAGTCCAGCACCAGCTAGCCCATCATCTCGAAGGACACCCTGGCAACAGGCTGCTAGACCGACCGGAACCGCCCAGAAACATGAAGGAAACGCTCTTCAGCAGGTACGAGAGGTACATCACTGCACTCCTCGAAACATCCGATTCAGAAGAAGACGACGACACGCACGTTACCGAAGAGGACTACAGAGGGCTCCTCAAAAAAGTGCACACAAATGAGGTCAAAGACGCCCTAGACAACCGGGACAACAACAAAGTGCTCGACGAACCAGCCCCCAAACTGAGCAAGGATGAATTACGACTGCCGAGAGGTACTAGACGGACCCTTGCCCAGTTACGGAGCGGCTACTCCCCATTCCTACAAAGCTACCTACACAGACTAGATGAATCAACCCCAGAAACATGCCCACAGTGCAACTCAGAAACCCACACAACGGGTCACCTATTCAGGTGCAGCGCAAACCCGACTACAATCACCCCCCACGCACTCTGGGAAAACCCGATCGAAGCAGCTGCTTTCCTGCAACTCGATACAGAAGAAGCCACAAATGAGGGACAAGAGGAGGGCCAAACTACGGGCACCTAGGCAACAACAACAACAACAACAAGCGAGGAATTTGAATCTAACAATTTGCAAAAAGTAATCCAAAATTTTCCCAATTTAAAGGAAATTTGTTTGGACGAAATGACAGTTTCTCTAAGAACAGAGTTAGTGCGTGCAAAAATATTGAAGACGGTCTTTATTTATTCTATTGAGCCAAGTAAGTTTCTACGCGTTTTGCAGGGGCGAGATAAAAAAATTGCCTCTTTTCCCTACTGTTGAAAAATTGATCGTTTATTTTCAATCGAGAGATGAATTTATTTTGGTACCTGGGTTCATCCAAACGCATTTTCCTAACTTGATGCTTTTGGAACTCAGCATATATTCACACAGCAGTTCGTATTCGCATTGGTATTCAGGTAATTAAGTGTTAATGACCTAAGTGAGTTTTCATTTAGGCCGGGTGTCTTCGTTTAAAATTTTATTTTGGCGGCTCATTTGATAAAAACAAGAAAACTAATGCTCTCCAGGCGCGAAAAATTGAGCCTGGGTCTTAGTTTTAAATAACTTTTGATTTTCAGATTTTACAGCGGATTCATCTGTTGAGTCAGTTTTCTCAAAGTGAATCAGTTTTTTTACACAAGCAGCGTAGTGTAATTGTACTATTCTTTTTTCCAACCTAAGTCGCAAATATTGACGCTACTTTTGGTGCACCTTTGAGGTATCTGGTACGAGTGGTTACACGAAATACTAAAGGACCTGCTACCAATCACTACAAAACACAGTTCTGAACTAGCTCCTTGAGTGGGAAGCTCTTCCTCGTACCTTATCAAGAAATTAAATACATTCGTTAACTTGAAAATCAGCAAAAACCTACCCCATCGAACGAAGGCAAAATTGAAAATCTTCAAACTGAACTAACACTGTCCCTTCAAAATGACCAGCATCTCCACGAAAAAATGCTTTTTGAGAATGGGAAATTCAGCGAAATACAACGATATCTGAAATCGATCACCAAGTCTAGCATGATCCCTTCAGAGATCTTCCTAGATCAAAAAATAGCCAATACAGGCGCTCAAAAAGTTGAATTGTTTAACATATATTTTCAATCAGTTTTCACACGAAACGCCAACGTTGGGAAAGCAGAACGACAAGATAACGTTCTTCTGAACAGTATCAATTTCACGATCGATGAAATAGAAGATGCCCTAAACGAGCTGCCCGTAAATAAGGCCAATGGACCAGACATGATTGGTAATACTCATAAAAAACTTTTCAAAGTCATTACCAAAATTATTTCACTTACTGTTCAACTTGATTGCAAATAAAGCGATATTTCCAACAAAATGGAAGATCAGCGAAATCGCACCAATTTTCAAAGACGGGGATAAACAAGACGTATCATATTACAGGCCGATCAGCCTGCTCTCAGCAGTGTCAAAACTGCTTGAGAAACTAATATTTGAGAAACTGGCCCCAATTGTCTACCCAACCCTAACACCAGACCAACACGGTTTTAGACCTAAACGATCGACGATAACAAACCTAATAGAGTATCTACACGAGATATTTAGCTGCCTAGATTTGCCAAACTGCAACTACCTGAACACCTTCTACTTGGACTTTCAAAAGGCATTTGACAAAGTCTCGCACGGAATCCTCATGGAGAAATTATCGACTTCTGGAATTGGAGGAAATTGTTTATCTCTGATACACAGCTACCTCTCGAACCGGAAGCAAACAGTGAGGCTGAATGACACAATTTCAGCGGCGTTCCCCAGGGCTCTATACTCGGGCCGCTTTTCTTCCTAGTCTTCATAAATGATCTACCGTCCTGTGTCATGTCCGCAACATTTGGTTATGCAGACGACTACAAAATTGTTGATTACAACCCTTTAACTCTCAACATAGATGTTAGGAGACTTTGGAGGTGGTGCGAGGAAAACTGCATGTCAATGAACCTGACGAAAAGCAAAGTTCTCTGTATCAAAGGATCAGCTACGATTGCACTCCCCAATTACAGTTTCGAAACCACTGAAGTAATGAAAGATCTGGGCATCCTGATAACCGACACGCTCTTTTGGACGCAACACGCAAAAAAAGGGCTGAAAAAGCCTTTAACGCTCTCTTTGTACTCAAAAGGAATCTCTCAAAGGCGAATTTCGCGACCAGAAAAAACGCATACATCTCTTACGTTGTGCCAATTCTGTGCTATGGTTCAGCTATCTGAAAACCATCAAAAGGTGACTTAGAAATCATAGAAAGTGTGCAGCGGAAAGCGATCTCGTGGATTTTCATGACAAGCTATAGCCATATATCCTATAAAGACAAACTCGTAAAACTTAACATCCTTCCTTTGTCTCTATACCAAGAGCTTCATGTTGGATTGCTGTTTGCAAAAATACTAGCTGGAAAAGTTGACATTGACTGGAGAAGCCATGTAAGCATCACTGACGTTGGAAACCGAAGAGCTCAAATGACACGAAATTTCGTCTGCAAACAAATGCGTCTGAAGAAGTGCGAGTCGGATTTCTGGTTTCGGGCATGTCGTCTTGCTAGTCTGTACAACGAATACTTCAAATGTGACATATTGTTTGACCCAGAATGCAAAAACAGACTTCTAGGAATGTATACAAAGTTTTTGAAAACTTGCTACAACGAATCAGATACATACACTTGACGCATTTTATGCGAATGCAACAACTGTAGAGACCTGAAGAAACCTACACTTATAACTGAAAACTAAATTTTGAACAATGCAATGACTGGGTTTTATGCGAACCCATGGATTATATTCCTAAATCCTTTGTTATTATTATATTATTATAGGTCTTGCTGTTTTTTTTGTATTTTTTTTCAGAAAAAGTCTTAAAATATAAATGCACTTAGGTATATATATATATATATGCCATTTTTGAGTTCAGTTGAATTTTATCTGCTGAAAATTACGTAAATAGCACTCTCCCAATACAAACGTGAAAATGGCGTGAAAAAACGTGAACGATTTCTAATTTCGAAAGTGGAACTTAATTTTTAGATTTCCAGCGGAATAAAAACTTTTCCTGTTGATCCAGTTTTCTCAAGTTGGGTTAATGTTATCAAAAAAGCGCCAATCATAAATCTTTCTAGAAATATAAAGAGCTTAAAGGCTATCTATTTTCTTTGAAATTCGAAAGTGGAAATTTTTTCAAAGTTGGTGTTTTTTATGTTTAATTGCGTTCATTACTCTTCCAATCTTCGATTGGCTATGATTGATTGTTGTAAACTAATTATGCAATTTGTTTTTATAACCACTGAAATAAGTAGTACATAAATAAGAACATTCTTTTTTCCGACTAACTTTAGTATAATCACGATCTGTAACAGATTTCATTGCATCTGTTGTCTGCTTTTTTGTGGCTAGTTCTTGCCGATTGTTAGTGTCCGTGGCTGAGGAGTCTGAAGGAGTCTGAATTTTGAAGGAGTCTTTTTTACATAGGGGCCCAGTTAGTTTTTTGCGATCACTCTCGCACTGGTAGCCCTCTCTAGGTCGCTGGTTTGAATCCGTCGCGTGGAAGATTTTTTAAACTAATTCCAGGCTTGTTTCTTTATATTCTTATTTCAATTTATAGACCTGCTTTTTTGTCGTGTTGTCGATAGTGTTTGAGAAGTATAACTTCTTAAACTAGTCTTTTAATAGCTTGGTTCACAATTAATTCAAATTCTGTGTCATGCTGCACGTTAAGCCTCAAGGTAACGTTTGTGCATGCCTGACAATCCCCCGGCCCAAAACTTGAATCCTGTCAGGAGTTGTTTTTTGATAACTGAACATAATTCCGCTTGTAAAGCGTTATCAAACTGGAATATAATTTTTTTTTAGTTAACTAATTTAACAAAATCAGTTGAATCACTTGCTGACTATGCTGCTGACTGAAATGGTCAATTTCTTGAAAATTCGAATTTAAATCGAAGGATTTTGCTGTTGACAATTATCATTGTAGTTGCAAGAACAAGTTGTGTTCAATCTAATTTCAGGTGGAGGACCTGAAAGATTTAGAAAAAAAAATTAATTTTTTTTTCGGTTCAATTGGTTTCAATTCAAAGGTTGTTGGTTTAGTTGCCACATTACTGATTTTTCTTGTGCTGTGTTTTTTTGTGTGTTTTTTGATGTTTGTGTTGTATCGCAAGTTGTGCGATGCTCCGCTTCGCTTGTGTTAACTCAAAGTAATTTTCTTTTAAAAAAAGTTCTTATGATGTTTAATTGTCGCTGAACCTAGATCAGGCTCTTGTATAGGTCGCGATGATCTTTTTATAGAAAGTGTTCTGGCTCAAATTTAATTTTTCGCAGTTTGACTTCTGGTTTTTTTTAAATTCATTTCATTTCCTTTGGTAGATTGAAAACCAACTACCTATATCGAACAACAAAAATGTTAAGGTCACGGAAATTTTCGTTATTCCAAGTTTTGAAAAACTCAAAGATAGAGGGCTGCAATAGTCTGATATCTTTCTGATTTTCTGATTGGGACCTGCGCCAGCTTGCGGCTTTGCTCATGAGTTAATACGTCAAGTAATTAGTTGTTTTCATGGAAAGTAAAGTCCAATATCGAGCAGTGAAAGTGTAAAGGTCACGAAAAAGGTGACCGAATTATAGTTTCGAAAGTGGATATTAGTTTTCAGATTTACCGGCAATAAAAATCAGTTATTTATCCATTTTCTCAAATGGAGTTAATTTTAGCAATTAGTGTCAATCATAAATCTATATCTATCTATCTATATCTATCTATCTATCTATCTATCTATCTATCTATCTATCTATCTATCTATCTATCTATCTATCTATCTATCATTCTATCTATCTATCTATCTATCTATCTATCTATCTATCTATACATATATATCTATCTATACTATATTTAAATGCGAGTGACAGCTATCTCCCATATTTAAGCATAATAATTTTGCATGTTTAACGAAAGAGTTTTTTCATGTTAAAGCTATATCATATATTGCAATGCTTAAGAAAATGTTTCAATTAGTTTTCCGCAAGGTCATTAATTTTCAGTAATTTTTTGCGAGGCCAAATTAAGTCTGTCTGTCTGCCTGCCTGTCTGTCTGTCTGTCTGTATACCTGCTTTTTAAATTAATTTGATCACGTCTGTCTACCCGTCTCCTAATTTTTTAACTCTCATCTATCTATCTTTTATCTATTGTATGTTTAAATACGGGCTTCACTATCTCGTCATGCTTAGGCTTTTTCAACGTATTATTTTTGCATGTTTGACAAAAGAGTTTTTTCACGTTTAAGCTATATCGTATATTGCTGTAGTTTAAGTTTTTTAGATATCCCAGTTTAAATTTAGTGTTTTTTTCATCAAGTTTGAAATAAGCAACCTAATAGTTGGATCTTGTCAGAGTTTTCCCTGGTTTTGCGATTCTGGCTTCCATATATGAATAACCAAATCCTTTTAGTTTACGAGATAGGCAATTTTCAGTTTTTGAAATGTCAGGGCACTCTCAGGGATTCCGAATCTTGCCTTCAAATCTCACTTCTCAATTCCTTGTAGTTTTCGAGATATGATGTTTTTTTTATTTTCAAAAATTTTTTCAAATACTAGATTTTAAAAAATTCCAAAACGTTGAAAATTTCATTCCTGTTGTTGGATATTTTGAGAGTACTCTCAAGGGTTGCGAATCTTGCCTCTGATTATGGCTGCTCAAATCCTTGTAGTCTTAAAGATATGACGTTTTTTTAGGATTTTCTCCGAAGTTTTCAAAAAAACGGATGTTAAAAAATTCCGAAACGTTGAAGATCTCAATCCTGTCATTGGAATCTGTGAGGGTACTTTCATGGGGTTGCGAATATTGCCACTGAATATGGCTGCTCAAATATTTTGTAGTTTTCGAGATATGACGCTTTTTAGGGTTTTCAGAATACTTAGATTTGAAAAATTTCACAAAACTTGAAATTACGATCTATGTAGTGAAGATTTGTCAGGGTGATTTTTAAAAAAAAATTTTCATGAAAATTAAATATTTTTTTTCTTCAAAGTTTCATATTCCTAACCTGTAGTTGGGGGGCAGTCAGAGTAATCTCTGGGATGGCAAATTCGGCCTCCAATTCTGAAAATGCCCAAATCTTAAAATGCCTTACTCTTTTTAGTTAAAAAGATAAGACGATTTTTGTGATATTTTTTTGAAATTTCCAGAACACTAAATTACAAAATAATTCACTAAAGTGAAGTTCCCAACCATCTAGTTGTCTGCTGTCAGAGCACTTTCAAAGATTGCGATTATTGCCATCAAATAATACTGCTGAAACCATGGTAGTTTTCGAGATGTGAAATTTTTTTGGTTCTCAAAAAATACCTTTTTTAAAAAAACTAAAGGTGAAGTTTCTCAAAATTTGAATTTCCCAATGTTGTAATTGGGTACTATAAGAGTACTCTCAAAAGTTGCAAATCTTGCGTCCAAATGCGACTGCTCAATTGGTTTTAATTTCCCAGATGTGACGTTTCTTAGTTCATTTAAAATTTTTCGAAGAACTTCTAAAAAACTTCACAAAATATTATGGTGCTTCAAAGTTTCTATGAAAAACTTAAGAAAACTTTGCAAAATTTTTTATTACGAACCTTTCAACTGGGTGCTGTCGGATTACACTCAAAGAAAGCAGATCTTATTTTCAATATATGCGGTTTATTATGAGTACCGGAGTTGCGTTACACGCTAGTTGTTTAAGAAATTCGAAGAGCTTTAAGGACATCTCTTTGTTTTCCTAGAAGTTTCTAATCAGTATTTTTTTCTGTTTTCTTGCGTTCATTGAATCTTTTCCAACTGTCTGTTGGCTATGTTTTTATGTAATGGTGCAGATAATTGAATTCCAAGAATGTTAGCAGAGTTTACCATTTAAAGACAATTTTTCAAGGTTTATTTTGCGTTTTGGCTCGTCTTGTCAGTAGAACGAATTGAATGCTGCCGTGTAATTTTGTTTTAAGTTTTTAATGTGCTTTTATTGCGAAATTTTTACGCAAAAAATGATTTTTGCATTTTTCTCAAACTCCTCGCATTAACAAAGGAGATGTTTTATAGATGTTTTACTTGAAGATGTTTTTATAAAACTTGTCGCTGTTTAGCGCCTGAACCTACGGCATATAAATTTGTTATCGAAAGATATGCGAAGCTTCGCATCGCCTCTATGTTTTGAAAGTACAAAGAGCTTCAAGGCTATTTTTTCTATAATATCGCGAAAATTCAAAACTAGAAGAAAAATATTTTTGGTCTCTTGAGCTCATTAACACTCCGAAATCCCGTTTGGCTTGAATTTTACTTTACCACCCTCGTGCCACACTCTGAAAACAAGTCACAAATTGTTACACCTCTTCATTGAATGCAAAAGCATAAAACATTTGTTTATAAGCATTGCTGCGAAAGATTTTGATGTTACATCCTTATCCAAGATGTTCCTTTACCTATTAGAGGGTTCTTTTAATTTGGAAACGATAACATTTTGGATTCCGATGAAAGGATATCAGACTCTTGTCGAGTCGTATATGGAAACATTTCAAGTGAAGTTGCTAGAAAAACAGCAGGAGCTACAGATAATGTTGGTGAATTTCATAGTCGATGATGCAGGAGAACCAACTTCGTCTGATTATCTTCATGATGGTATCAAAGAATGTCTGTTTGATTGGGTAAATCGGAATCAAGATTTTTTGTCCTCGCACCCTTCACTAAAGTGGTTAAGATTTAACAACTACGATATTGTTCTGAAAAACACATTGAGCAAAAACGACATCGCGCGGTTGGATCAATTGAACTCGGAATTTGGATGGAAAATCAGAGAGTTAGACTTGCTTGATCCTGATGTTGTTCAGACACTTCCGTTTGAAAAACTAAATATCACTATTACGTAAATGGAAATAAAGTTTAATGAGACCTTGATATTTCTAGCAGTGGTTGTTTTGAAGGACTTCTTTGCAGTTTCCGGTGAGTGTTGGTTGCTGTTGATGAGAGTAAAGTGAGCCTGTTGAGCTGTGAAAGAGTGAGATTTCAATTTAATTGTCTATTTTTGAGATATCGCGATTTTGTTCTCGCTTTTAAAGACTTTTGCGTTGTCTCAGTAGGAACATGCTCTGCTTTTCGTCTATATTCTCCATCATTTTTTTCACGTCGTTTTATTATTTTGTACGGAGTACTTATTAAAATGAAACAAAAAATGAATGTTTAATTGAAGCTTAAATGAATGTTTAAATGAATGATAGGCAGAGAGGCCAGTCCATAATGACTTTCAGATTGACAATGCACCTGGGTGAAGTGACACGTTAAGTTTTCATTGCTTTGTCGCTTTTGGGTCTAAATGCCAATGGAAACTACAGATCGCCTGGCTCCAGAATGAGTGCCGATAATCCCTACGACACTGCGTGTTGCCTTGACAAGTACTATCACCTGTAAGTGGATAGTTTAGCTGCCCTAATTATTACAAACTTACCAGCTTTTTGTTTTTCTCCGGCTAATACTTGAACGCAGTGAATTTAAGAGTTCTGTTCGAGTTATTTAATTGTTCCGACCACACAGGATGGATAGGAAGGAAATACGGCCGGTTATACCAATGATAATTTCCTTTTCAGCTAATTCAGCGTAAAGCAGGGAAACTTCGCAAGCAATCTTTTAATTTAGGCTTTTTTGATGCAATAATTTTGTGGTAGTTCAAAGATTAGTGATGTTGACGCTCAGTTAACATAGTGGGGTCCTCAGGTTGCTCGGATTACCTAAGGTCTCAAGAAAATATTGTGATCTAAATAAATATCTAGCGCCATTTACACAACAGCTGAGTACTCATGTTGTTCCTGTTCCGATCATTGAAATTGAGAAGAAACTAAGTATTCGTTTGGTCGTTCTGCGCAAAGTAATCTACCATGTTTAAACGTCAGCATCGATTGATCTATCATATTGAAATCGTTGGTTTTTATTCGAACGATATTTAAAAAAAAATCAAGTTTTCCCAGTTAAAATGCAGCAAATTTTTGTGTTTTGTTCACAGGACTCATTACTAGATTAATTCACCTCTTTGTCCTCGGTTGCAATTCCTAGTACTCTCTTGTGCAATTATTGAGCATCTTTTTGAGCTTGTTAGTATTTCAAATATCGGTCATTTTCGAATTAAGCTTTTTATGTTGGTTATAATTTTACCAACTCGATTTGATTAAAATTTTCTTTCGACGTAAGACTTTCCGTCTATTTCATACTGGCTTAGTGATTTCATATTTAGCCGTTTTTGAGCGAAAATTATTTTATGTGCGTGAGTGTGTTTTGACGAGAGGGGAACTTGAAACTTTTCGTAAGCTTCAATTTTTTTCGGCTTTAAGGTATTTTGCATAGTTATTTTCGGCTTTGTTACTGGTAGGTTTTTTCCTATGCTAATTTTGCATTCGATTGGCAGGCATGTTTTTTCAAACTATCTTCTTACATTTTAATAGATCCAGTTGCATGTATTAGGATGGAATTTCGATGTTATTATTTTTTGGATGATGGTGTTTTCGCTTTTTTGTTGTCGATCATGATCTCGGTCTAGTTTCCGAATTGTGCATACCACCTTTCTTTAAGTACACGTATGGCACTCGTGGATACTATGTGGAAAGTACATGTTTTCATATCAAATTCATTTTGCCGAAATATTTCCGTTGGTTTTCAGCTTATTGGCCGCCGGCTTCAATTCTGTCGGCTTATTTACCAAATATTTTCTTCCCTTACTTTTTCCGATTTTTTTTGGAAATAAAATTGAAAACACACTAGAGCCAATTTTTTAGTTGCTCAAAATCACTATTATTTGTATTTCGTTAAAAAAATCTTCAATGAGTTTAAAGATATATATTTTTTCGATTTTCTAGGCTTGTTTCAAGGTTTACAGCGTTTGAAGTTCCCTTCTGCCTATTATTCAGCGTCATGCTGTTGTAGCCCTGTATTTGTTGTATCGCAATTGGTGCGTAGCTGAGCTTCGCTATTGTGTTATGACCTTATATCGAAAACCAACGGAGGTTTTCCCGAAAACTCGGCTGGCAGGCCTTCACGCAAATTTTCCCAATTTATCAGATATGTTTAAATAGCTGGTGATTCAGTTTGGTAGATTTTCGATAGAGACCGAAGCAAAAAAAGAAAGTTTCTTCTTAAACTTAAAGAATGATTTTCCAAGTGCTCTAAAAATTTCAAAATTATCAGATTACTTTAAAGGAAAAATGAAACAGTTGGGGATCTAAATTTCGATAGTGACCTGAGTGAAAAAAAAAATTTATGGAAAAAAAACGTAGGATATATGTGTTTTAGGTACCTAAGTAAGTTCCTGTACCGTGCGTTCAAAAAGGATGACATTCCTTTTGATGACTACTACAGGACGCCCAAGGTAGAATTGGTCGATGTCCTGTACCCAAGGTTCCTAAGGTGAGTGAGTTCTGGGCCGTTAAATGTACACTAAGCAAACCCATCCCATTTCGAAAACATTTTTTTTGCCACATGCTTTCATGCATGGTTAGAAAGTTATAATCTGATATATTCAAATCATGCGAAGAAATCTTACCCGGATAGATATCTGAAGTTTTGATCAACTTAAGATAAACAAATTTTGATAAATCGACTATTTGCAAATGGAAAGAAACGTCTGGTTGCTTTTAATTTCCTCATTAACAGAAAAAATCTAGAGTGATTTTTGTTGAAGCTAACCAGATGTGACATCGGAACCCAAGCTCTCAAATTGCGCATTTGTAGGTCCTCGTGTCAACTAAATGCCGGTATCTAGCGTGCTGAGGTTCCTTTTTGATATGATTTTCTGAAATGAAATGCTGTTGTTGTCAGATATTACAGCAAATTTGGCAGAAAGAAGAATGGCGTGAAGAGCAGCTCTTGGGCCTTCTCAAAATACATTTTAACGGCAGCTTGTGTGTTGCTCTTCCTTGAGGTTGCATCTCTCGTCCATTTTCTGTCCATTGTTCTCTAACTAATCTAAAGTACTCTTTATTTCTGTGAAATTATTCGGACCTCGGAGCAGTGAATGGAATCGATCTGATTTCATTCTGTTGAACATAAAAAACTTCTGAATTGCATCTGAATGGACTACTGTCTAAACATTAGCTTTGATACATGTTAAATTCAGGCAATTCGTTGATAAAATGAACTAGCCAAATAATTTTGTACTTTTTGACCTGGATGAACATAATCTATCTGTGGATGGTTATGTGTTTAGTCATGTCTATCTGCAGTGAGTGCGTTCTTCTTGCGAGAGATTCTGAGCAAGATCAGTTACCTTCAGACTGATCCGAACAGTGACGGGGACTACACAGATGTCTGGATATACACTGGGGGCCTGGTGTTCATTTCATTCGCCTACATGTTCATACATCCTATAAGCTACTTCCTCATGTACCAAGGGTCGTACAGGCTGCGTATAGTGCTCAATATGCTCATATACGACAAAGTTAGTCTGTTTTTTGTTAATAGTCTGGAATCTGAAATCCAAGTGTTAACTAGGTATCAAAGGTCCAAGAACGCTGGGCGTCAGTTTCAAAAAATAGTTTTTACTTCAAATTACGTTTACCTTATAAGGTGTTTGAAGTGAAAATTAAAATAATTTTTTGGATACGTAAGAAACGGGGCCGATCTTTTAGCAGACCAATTTTTCTTTTAGCAAAAAAAGTGAAAAATGAGTCTTCCGACAGACCGACGTTTTTAAAACTGACGCATAATTAAGTCACAGACGTAAAAAGAGCAGCTCAGTCTTGGGTCAAGTTTCCCTAATTAACACATTTACCTCACGCTTTATCAACAAATTTACCATATTCAAAAACAATAGTATAAATTAGCGGCAAATCGCTTTTACGCGCGGTGGCGTCCCTCATGATGGATGTACCGAATGTTTACAATTGAGAAAGGGTTATCGAGCGTAGTGTAATAACAAGACTATTCTTTTTTTTCAACCTAATTTGCAAATATTGGTGCCACTTTTGGTGTCACATTTACGACTTTTTGATAGCATGTGGTTTGACTGACATTCGGTAAGTTATAATTTAACACAGTTGATGCTTTTTTAATTCACCAAATGAATGGAACAAAGATGTTTGCTTCAAAGAGTACAAAAATAAAAACTCGGTTTCAGAAATTTTTCCAATTCAGTATCTCGCAATTTTTTAAATGCTTATTTTATATATAATTTGGTTTTATGCTTTCACTTTTTGTACATGAAAATTTATTGTGGATGTCTTCAGTTTTTATATTCCAAATTATTACATGCAAAATTATGTCTATGTATTTGGTGCCGCTTTCGCTGCATGGCATTGTCAATTTATTAGCAATGTAGCTGCTTTCTTTGTGTTCTTAAATCTGTGTTCTGAACTTGTCAAGGATGCGTGGGGCAGATGCGAGGACAGCAACTCTTAATCTCCTGGTTGTAGGATCGACTCCGCCGCAGCAAAATTTTTAGTGTTCGAGGCTTACTTTTACCTTTTCTTGTTTAATTCACTTTATAGAGCTGCTTTTTGTCGTTTTTTCGATAGTGCTTGCCATTGCCTTTTCAGTAACGCCATTGCCTTTTCAGCCCAAGGTCCGGGACTTGAATCCCGGCCGGACTTTTTTCAGTATGTACTGCAAAAATTTTCCGGTAAAAATTGATTCGCCGGACTTCCATTCATCTGCTCAAATTTGGTTGCCTTAATTTTTTTTGCGTTAAGCAAGTATGATAGTGGCAAGTGTTGTTCGTTGTAGTTTCAGAGGGGACTGCTCGAAAATTGACGACTTTTTTCCTCGGCGTAAGTTTGGTTCCGTTTCTAAATTATAATATGCCTTTCTTGCAAGGTGTATTTTCCTAGAATTTTTTGTTGATAAAAACAGGTATTATGAAAATGTTTGGAATTGGGTTTTTTATTTAAATTTTTGAGACGCTTTGGTAAAAATTTTCACCACATTTTGCCTAAATTTAGTTTTTCTCAAAGTATTCAACGGATTTTTAGGAAAGGGTATCAATGGAAAGACTGCCTAATCTTCTGCCTGCCTGCATACTGCCTAGTCTGCTGTTACTCTACCCCTCTGTCTACAGCCTTCGAAAAAGTGTCGGGTCAATATTTGACCCATTTTGTTTTCTCAAAAACTCCCCTCTCAAATCTGAGATCTTGTTTTCAATTTATAGAACATATTTGAGAAGCTCCCCTGCACAAGGGGCTTCGCCCATTTTTTTATACACAAAGTTATGTCTATCGAAATGGTCAAATTTTTTTGTTCCTTTTTTGAATTTTTTCTCGAATCTAAATTTTCTCGAAAAGTAACCTAAATCAGATTGTGGGCTCGTTGATGGAAAGGGGTAGTGTAAAGATCCCGTGCATTAGTGGCCACTCACAATTTTTTTTCTACACAAATAGCTATCGCCCTCAAAAGAGTTAAATTTTTGACTTTTTTTACCATTTGTTAAACTTATTGTTTTTTCGAAACTACCCTCCAAGATCTGATTTAGTGCGTTTTATCCAAGGAACAGCACGAGTTGTGGCAAGTTTTTTTTGCATACGTGACAACGCTCATTGTTTCGCCACAGAAATATCAGAAGGCCCTCGGAAAAGTCAAAATTTTGATCTTTGGACCGTTTATCTTTGAACTGAAATTGCAGGTTGCGTGAATCTTTTCTGCGTTAGTGGCTGCATCCAATTTTTTTTATACAGAAAGCTATGATTTTCGAAATTGTTTTGATTTGTTTGCCATTTTTGGGATTTATGAAACTTTGATTTTATTTTATAAACTTCTTGAGTTTTCGTAAAAAGTACACTATTAAATCTGAGATGAAAAGGTCAATCGAAAGAACCGGTTGCGAGAATTTTTCCTGCAGATGCGGGTAATCCTTAGTTTTTTTCTAAGAAAGACGTTATGTCCTGAGAAATTTTCCAATATAACAAAACTTTTTTTTCTCATTTGGTTTAGTAGAGAAACAACTAAAATTTTGGGCAAAGTCCAATCATTCAAATTAAGCTTTTCATCCCGCATCCGTATAACAGATTCAAAAATAGCAAATTTAGTGTGCCCCTATGGTCTTTTATCGAAAGTTTTGGTTCATCTAGTTTTTAAACCATCTTTTTCATTTTTTTGAATTATGGTTTTAACTGTGAAATCATGTTTTTTTTTACTGTGAAATCATGTTTTCCACTGTGAAATCAAGTGTTTTGTAATCCTGATCAATATAACAAAATCAAAAACCTCGTTATTTTTTTGAGACTTCAAATTTTTCGGTTTTGCTACTTTTTCCCATGTTTGTTGTAATGCAAGTGGTGCGAAGCTATTACTTCAGTCAATCAATTATGCGTCACTTTTAGCTGCCTTCAGAAAGTTATCACTCAAACCCTGCTAAAACTAAAAGGCCAATATTTCATTTTTATATTGGTCTTATTGCTTCGCCTCTGCGTTAATGTTAGTGTTGTATCGCAGTTGGTGCGAAGCTCTGCTTCGCCTCTACGTGGAAAACTGTTTTCTGTTACAGTCAGCCAATCAGAATTGAGTTTTCAAAAATCCTAAAGCACGCAATTAAATCCAGCCCATTTAAGTTTATTTTAGCTGAATACAGAATAAGCAAACGCAATAATTTTCAAATATTTCGGAATCATAGTGGGGTATTGAAGAAAAGTTATAACATTTAATTATTAAGGTGCCACAATTAATCATTTTCTGTTAATAATGAATACGATTTTGTGTAAAAGTCATTTAGCTAATTGGAACGTCTTACGATTCTGATTGGTTGAAAATTTTCCATAGCCCACTTTACATGCACATGACACTCGTGCCGAATATAGGCGCATGGGAGCACGCGGTCGCTACTTGCCAATACCGCGTTCGAAGTTGGTGTTCTGACTTGCTAATTGTTTGAGGCTGCTAAAAGATCGGTTTGCTGAAAAACCGTTCTGCTAAAATACCTAGCACCGTTAAAAACTTGAAATCTTTCAAAGTGGGACAAAGAAATTAGACGACAAGCAAATTAGACGGTCGTAAAATTACTGAATTTAGACAATAACTTTTTGTGAAATTGGACGAAAAGAACTACGTTTTTTTTTGTTTATAATGAGGAGTATATTATCACAGAATCGATCTAAGTTATTATCGTTGTTTTATTAGAAGCCTATTAAATCGAAAAATGTTAGAAGTTTTTGAAGTGCATGAGTTATACAGCTGTGACATACATAACCTTATTTGTGGTCGGACAGTCACTATTTTTACACAACCAAAAGTTAGTCTGTGAACACTCTCTATCAGACCGGTTTTAAGCATAAAACTGAAATATTGGTTTTTAGTTTCAGCAGAGTTTGAGTGATAGCTTTCTGACATAATCTAAAAGTGACTCGAAATTGATTGACTGAAATAAAACGGCGCGTAATCTGGAGCTCACCTTGGGCCAGTACAACAGTGCCGAAAATCAAAATCTTGTTCAACAGTGCCGAAAATTTTTTTGAATACTGGTTTCTCATCACAAATTACTGACAAGTAATTAGACTCAAATTGGCGAAAAGCTAAAAAGACAAAAATGCCCATTTGAATTCATGCGGCTTGTTAAGCAAACAAAAATTTCCCAAGCGCGGCGTTATACATTTTTCTGAACATACAATTAACTTAGTAAAATTGTCAAAATTTTCGCTCGGTTTGCTCCAAAACAAAACAGTATTTACGCAACATTGCCAACAATTCAATAACAGAACTCGAGTATCATCATCTTTAGGCTCTGTTGAACACATTTGCACTTTCGGCACTGTTGTCCTTCGGCACTGTTGAACGCCCCCACCTAATTAAGACATATTACATATTTAGTTCTGTTTTTGAATTGTTTGCAATGTTAAAGTAAAGTGCGTATTTACGCAACATTTCCAACAATTCACAAACAGAACTCAATTATCTTCATTCTTAGGCACTGTTGAACACATTTGCAGTTTCGGCACTGTTGAACGCCCCCACCTAATTATGACATTTATCTCACGGTTTGTCAACAAAACTCTAAGCAAAACAAACTAGTTTTGCGTCAAACAATGATTCACGAGCACTGTTCCTTTCGAAACAGATGTAAGCGTAGCGGATAAAGGGATCGCTACTTTTTAATGACGCGTTTGAAGTTAGCGTTCTGACTAGTTAATTATTTTGAATCTGCTAAAAAAACCTGTCTGCTGAAAAACCTAGCCCCAGTGCGGTGACTGTTAATCATAATTTATTTGGTCCTCTTTTGAAACCAGTGCTGAATTGTTTTAGGTCTTGATCATATTGCAAAAGTTAAGAAGTTGGCATCTGTTTTTTGAAACCGTTTCAATGTTTCGAGCTTTATTTTCAAGTACTCATACTTTCGAGTAATTTTGACTATTATGTCATACAGGTTCTGCGTCTGAAGTCGTACATGTTGAATGAGACTAGCAGTGGGGAGATTCTCAATATGGTGTCCATTGACTTGGGCAAGTTCGATTTCGTCGGCATGTTCCTCACTTTCTTCATCCAGGCACCACCTTATTTCCTCACCAAAGCTGTCTGCTCATACTTCGTAAGCATCATTTCATTCATTCTAATGCACTGTTACATATTACGTAATTTTTACTTTAGACATGCGGACGCCCCCTCTCCTCGGGGATTAAACCCCTGACGACCCAAAGGGTCCTCCCTTTGTACTATTTTGAAATATTCATTTTGGTGACCGTCCCTAAAAATTTTCTAAAGGCGCCTTAGGCGCTAATATATACTAATTTTGAGGGGGGAGATCGCGCCGAAAAAACGCGATTTTTTTGTCAACATTTTCCTTCAACGCCTTTTGGCCCGTTTTTTCAAAATTTTGCCTGTGGCCCAGAAAATTTGGCCAAAACAGGTTTTTCAGTGCGCTGGGAGAGCTCGAAAAATCAATTTGGTCGACCTAAAAAAAAAGGTCGACAAAAATTACGAAAATTTTTTGAAAATCCGCCCCCCCCCTCGAGAAATCCTAGATCCGCCCCTGATTGGCGAAGCGGTTCAGTTATCTCGAAGGTGTTTTTGAAACATCCAAGGACTAATCATTCTAATATGAATGGTGTTGAATTGTAATGAAGTCGTGTAACGGGGTTACTGAGTTCAGAAACTTTTTCGAATTTGACCACCATATGAGTGTCGTCTTTGTGTTAGATCATAGGCTGGCCGGGGCTGGCTGGATGCTGTCTATTCTTGATCCTCATCCCGATCCAGCTGTCGTTCACGCGTCTCTTTGCCAAGTACAGAGTGAAGAGTGCTCTAGTGGCGGACGAGAGAGTGAAGTTGATGAGGGAGATCATAGACGGAATCAGAGTGATCAAGATGTACGTGTGGGAGGAGTCATTTGCCACTGTCATCCGCAAATTCAGAGGCGCAGGTCAGTCATTCATTCTCTTAGTCTAGTCTAACCTTGTATTATCCCATAATTTATGGATTTTGATGGCATTGAGTTTTGTCAAGTTATGCCTAGTTTTGTGTAATTGTCATCGAAAAGTTTTGCATCAATTGGTGTGCCGCACGGGTCAGACAATATCAGTTACCGTAGCGTTTTATAGTTGTAAAGCCTCATCGTAGAGAAGATATCCTTTACTGGCAATTTGTGATAAAATAAGATCTCGGTCTTTCGACGCGATTAAAACTTTTTTTGCGTAGTTGTAGTCGGGTAGCTCAAAAATGACACTGCCAATAATTGAAAGTTTTCTTGCACTTTGATAGGTGTGGAAGTTTGCTCCCACTGAAATTATAGTTTAGTTGTATTCTATCCCCAAGAAGCTTATGTGTGAAGAATACATTGTCTTGTAACCTAGAGGTGAAGGAACTGATCAAAATGCACGTGTTGAATGGAATCAATTACGGAATCAACGCGGGAGCTCCCCAATTTGTAGTGATGACGGCCATTCTCATCACTCTCTACGTGCAGGATGACCACCTAGTTCCAGACACCCTCTTCGCCTATCTGGCCCTGATGGTTGACGTCAGATACTACGCTCAGATGTTCACTTTGGCTTTGCCCTATTTGGCAGAAGTGCGAATTGCCTTCGATCGAATCCAGGTAAGATTCCATGCTGGTTGTAAAGGCAATAATTGCAATCAATGAAGCAATGAAGAGTTTGATCTGTGCCCTTGAGGTGACGATTTGCCACCAGCGAAAATTGGATGAGGCTTTGTATCATATCAAGAAACCACAATTCTTCGCGAGTTATTTGCCATCATAATAACTATTCTGGATAAATTGATTTAGCTATGTGTTGTCTTTTTGTCCAGTTTCTAATTGTGACGAATTTTCATTAACGCCAATTTGTCGGCATGCTCATTTGAGGCCCTTGTATCAACTCTATTTTGTTGTATGTAGAAACTGATGGACATCAGCGAGAACCCAAGGGTGTACATCGAGCGAGTAAAGAAGAAGATAGAAAAAGAAGCAGAGGGTGATGCAGATGCGACTCTCCTCGGAGATCAAAGCAAAAGCAAGTCCAGGTCCAACTTCAGCTCCCTCTATGTGAAATCCATGTCCACTGCGGAGTCCTCGTCTTCAGGGATGTCTCTGGACTCCAATGCGGACGGTCTGGACACGCTGCTAGCTTATGTGAAACTGACCAATATCACCGCAGTTCACGACACATCGACAGCTGATGTTAGCTAGGCTTCTTAGAATACGAAATTGGTTTTCCGAAATTTCGAAGAGTGGAAACGGACAAATGAGTCAGCTTTTTTCGCGCGGTTTTGGGTTATTTCAGGAATACATTTTCGAAGGCCAGATTATGCATTTCATTGATTTCAAAATATTCTTTAAACTGTTTCTTGTATGAAGAAAATAACTGAGTTGAATAGATTTACGGACAGAAATTGATAAGTATTCAAGAATAAAAGAAAGGGTGTGAAGTTGATATTATATCGGAGTTAACTAGGTTGCTCTTTTCACCAAAGTTTAATTATTGTTTAAGTTTTCTAGCTGATTTTCTCCTTACCCAAACAACACTTGAAAATTTAGAAAAATAGTTTCATTTTATTCTATGGCCAAAAGTTCAGTGCTACCAGCCTAGCTAATGACCCTTGTTCAATTTTATTTTAAATGTCGTATATATAAATCTCTAAAATGCGTTTCTTGTGTATTTGCGTGGGTCTTTTTAATAGTTTTTGGGTATATTTTAAAAGTTTAGATTGAATTAAATTCATTTTTTTTTGTTTCAGACTAACACTGGCTTTAGTCTCACTAATCTATCCTTTGTGGCCAAACCTGGAGAGCTGGTAGTAATTGTTGGACCAAGTGGGTGCGGAAAGGTTGGTTGATTTTTGTTTGTTGCTTACAATTGCGATAAACAAGGTTACTGCAACCGGGCAATAGAAAACTTGTTCCTTGAGAAGATCTTTTGCCGTAAAAAAAACTTTGTTCACATTGCTTAAACTCAAAATGTAACCGTGTTTTATAATTAAATCAAGTTCAATGACCATTAGGAGCTTTTAATGTAGAGGTAACACCTATGCTTGAGACGACAAAGGACGATAGATCAAGTTCGTCCTTCCGAATTCGGGTTATCGTTGGTCTGTTTGTTTTGCGGTACATGCAGTTTTTCCAATAATTTATGACAAAATTTTTTGACTGCGCTTCAGCTTATTGGTTGTCGGCTTATTTACAGATTTTTTTCTTTAAAATATCCGGTAGTATTTTTGAGATCGATAAGTCTCTGATACCAATTTTTGAATGACCATAGTCAACCACACTAGGCCCCCTTAGACAAACTTTAATCAGCTTACCCACGAAAAAATACTGTTTTTTGTAACATCGCGAAAATTGTCAGCTTAGCTTGCGCTCTCTTTTTCTGTCAGCTTAGTTTCCATTGCTCTGAGTAAACTGATAGGAACATATTGTGCATGCTGATATATATGTTTTTTCTTTATTTTTGAATATCTTTCCTCAAATTGTTTGATTCGGTACATTATGTGCTACTTTCTCAGCAGCCGGCTGTCTTTGTTTTAATTTTTTATTCATTTGTATACATTTTGTATACAATTTGTTTGAAAAATTACGCTATTGCTTTCTTGGTTATCAGTCGTCGGTGTTGGATTGTATCCTGGACGAGATGGTAGTTGTGGAGGGTGACAGAGTTGTGAAGGGGGCCATCGCGTATGCTGCCCAGGAGGCCTGGATCTTAGGGGGTACTCTGAGAGACAACATTCTCTTTGGGAAGCCGTACCCCATGTATGACGAAGAGTATCAGCAAGTGGTGGCTGCATGTTGTCTTACTAGGGTCAGTTCATTTTTCTAGAATAATCTTAAAAACCGATCTAAATCTATAACGTGCAGTCAAAATGTGCAGTCATAATACGAAATGTAGAATAAGGCAGATTTGCTCAGTTTAAAAATAAATGAATTAGAATCTAATGGGGAGCTAAATTGGACTGGTTCCCATGAGGGAAGCTCGGTTTTTGGCAATTGGAAGGTTTTTTGACGCTTTTCTTTTTGGCAAAAGGAAGATTTAGTCGTTTTAAGTTCCCTCGTGCCGCTCTAAAACAGCCTACAATCTTTTTACAGCCTGAACTGGATTTGGTCAATTTTTTCCTTCTGAGGTGAGAGATCAAAGTGCAAATGTAGCAGGGCTTACTTTTTTTGTTGTTCTTAGGACTTTGAGATCATGCCAGATGGTGATCAAACTGTGGTCGGAGAGAGGGGAGCTGGATTGAGTGGAGGCCAGAAGGCCCGAGTTGGTCTAGCAAGAGCTGCCTACAGAGACGCAGACATTGTGCTGTTAGATGATCCATTAAGTGCAGTAGATAACCACGTCAGCAAGGAGCTATTCGAGAAGTAATCTAATCTTTTTGATGTAATTGAAGTCTTAATTATAAGAATCACAAGTTTATCCAAGATTTTAAAATGATCGCTGACATCAATTTTTCTTCTCGTGTTCAGTGTCACTTCTTCGAAACTGAGAAGTTCCTAAAATACGATAGTTATGAGAGGTGATTTTAGCTGTATCAAGGAGTATTTGAAGTCCAAGGTAGTCATTTTGGCCACACATCAGACGCAGTACCTCTCACAAGCCACCAAAGTCATTATCCTCCATGACGTGAGTTCAATCAAAATTGTAATGAATAAAAGCAAATTCTAGATATACTTTAAGCATCTATGGGTAAACCTGGGAATGAAAATTTAATTTGAATAGAATAGTGAAACATAGAGGCATGTATTTAGTTATGCGAAGGTTCATATGACCGCAAAAAACTTAGCCTGAACTATGGACTCAATTAATTCACGGAAAACGATGGTCTTCAGCGAATTTTAAAATGAATTATATAAACTTATTTTGCATCCAGGGAGATATGCTTGGCTGTGGGTCGCTGGAAGAATTGAGTGCTCAGGGCCTGGACGTGAGCCAGTTGATGATGAGTGAGGAGGAAATGGAGAAGGCCAAAACTGAGGTATGATCAATTGACGACATCAATGAATGTGACGCATGTCGTAGGTGAACAACAAAATTTTGGCGAATTTTTCTGTACCATTGACTAATATGTAAAACAACCAGGCTTTAAATGCTGTTCTTGGGTCCTTCTTGGAAGGGCTTGAACAAAAAATTGCGTTTTTTTTCGGCGCGCGCTCGACACTCAATTATAAAATTAGTATATATGGGCGTCTTCAGATACACTTTAAAGTCAGTAGGCCAAAAATAGATGTAAAATAGTACCAAAGCGGGGACTTTTTGGGTGTTGTGGGGTAGAATATCTGATAGGGAAGTGCCTGCCCCATCACCTTTCATTTAAACTCGCTTCTGCTTTAAAGTGGAGTTCAATGTGATTTCATGGATCATTGCTGAGCCCTGAAAATTTCCTATCATTGTCGACGAGCTTTGGAGCGTTTTAGCTGTGTCATTTTGTGGAAAAAAGTGTGGATTGAAAACGAATTGAACGAATTTAACTTTAAGTGTAAGAACAAGAATGCCTGAAAACAGTTTTATTTGTAATTAGATTCCAGAAGATGTGCCTCTGGAGGCTATAATGGATGTGGCAAGAGTCAGTGATGGGGAGTACTATGGAAGCAATTGGGAGCAGGACTCGGACGCCAGCTACACCTTCTACGCGGACAACTCTGTCCGAACGGACGACTCACTCTCTGTTATGAATAGTCGATATGTACGTGGCTGTTGTTTTTAAGTTAGATGTAGCAATTAATTGGGATTCGATGAACGTAGTGAATATAGATCGTGATGATTTTTTCCAGGAAAAGTCTTAACAATTGTTCTCGCTCAAATTAGATTTTTCGCGATTTGAGTCATAATTTTTTTTTTAATTCAGTTCATTTCCTTTGTTAAAAGGGAGGCCAACACAACTATCGAACAGCATAAGTGCAGAAACCACGAAAAACGCGATCGACTTCTCGTTTTGAAAGTGGATTAAATTTTCAGGTTTCCCAGCGGAGTAAAAAGTCCGCCTATTGATCCAGTTTTTAAGTGTCGATGAACGTGCTGATACTTGCGAGGCAACTTCACCTAACCCAGAAAAATTAGCAGAAATGCATGTAGGTTTTAACAAGGGTGTGCGCGCTAGTCTCCGTAAATCATAAAATATGTGAAATCAAGCAATTGAATTAATTCGAGCAATTCTCAGGCTTTACATATCACTCTTGAGTGGGAACACATGGAAACAACTTGTGGTTCTCCGTAATGAACCGAAAAGCTCGTATGTTGGTATTTTCCTCGTGAATAAATGTGCTTATTTAATTATGAAATTTTTGCTTTGGGTTTAGAGAAGGAGGCGTAGGAGCACACAGGTGACAGTACAAGACCGGCAGTCCTCTCATAGCAGTGGTGCTCCTCTGTGGATGCCGACTATAGATGTGGATGGAATCAGAAACGACATTCTTCCTAATGGAAGCAAAAAGTCTTCGCATAATAATATTCGCAAGCAAAGACAGAATTCGCTAACTCGCAAGAATACAAAGGGATCCATGGGCATCCTCGAAGTCGGATCTTTGCCGATGTTCTTCTCGGATGGATCTCGCGCAATCATGGAAGACTCCGTAAGTGTATATACTTGTTACCGTTAATTCTCAGTCAGAAGCATTTGCTGTCTCTGGAGATCAGCGAAGTACGTCAATCTTTATGCAATAAAAGGGATCAAAAGCTGTGAGAATGCCTTTTGTTAAGGCAAATGCTCCAGTTAGGCTATTTGCACTTGCGAGAGCATGTGGATTGTAATCGAGAACTACACTTTTTTCCCGTTAACAACTTTTCGTAGAAATCTGCGAGAGATTGAACTTGCTTTAATATTGAACCTCAACAACAGTTTTCATTTTTTAATTAAGAGTAATGAACGTAGTGAATACTCTTATATAGGTTTTGCTGATTTTTTTTTCAGGAAAAATCTTAAAATGTGCATAAAAGTCTCTAATAACTACAGATGTGCATTCGTACATATTGATGCATTTATGAGTGCACTTAGGTATATATGCACTTTTTGAGTTCATCTGCTGAAAGTGACGTAAAAAGCAATCTCCAAATACGAACGTGGAAATGGCGCAAAAAACGTGAACGATTTCGTGTTTCGAAAGCGGAATTTAATTTTTAGATTTCCAGCGGAATAAACGTTTTACCTATTGATCCAGTTTTCTCAAGTTGAGTTAATGCTATCAAAAAAGCGCTATCTATATTTTTCTTTGAAATTCGAAAGATGAGATTTTTGCAACAAAGTAAGTGTTTTTTTTTATGTTTACTTGCGTAATTACTCTTTTCCAATCTTTGATTGGCTGTTTTATATCTTGTGAACCTTCTTTACACTCGCGATCAGCTTATTAGTACCAATCAGTGTATTAGTGCGATCAGTGTATAAGTACGAACCTTCTTTGTTTAACCTAACTCGCAAGTAAACGTGTTCATTGAAAGTATTCACTTATTTGGTGGCACTGTTGCTATACTAACGATCTGTAGCCTTGGAAATTTCATTGCATCTGTTCTCTGCTTTCTTGGTGGCTGGTATTTGTGATTCAGTAGGCGTCGTTTGACGTTGTCATAATGCAATGAAATTTGGCATGGTTAACAAAACTGACAACTGTGAACAGATTTGTTCTTCATACTTCACATCGTTACATCACTCATTTAGCCGTAATAACACGTAAAACCTACCTAGAAAATGATTTTTTGAAAGGTTGGGGGATACTGGAAAAAAGCTTTATACTTTTTCTTATTGCACTTAGTAGAGCTGATTTTTTTCATGTTCTCGTTAGTGTTTGCGAAGCGCAGCTTCGCCTTTACGTTATGTGTGACCGAGTGGTGTTGTTTGATTTAGAAGGAGGATGAGCAAATGCTGCTGGATATTATGTCCCACCATACTCTGGATGGGAACCCGAGGCCCAAACATGACAGGAGAAAACATGAGAACAGACTGTCCACTGATGCGGAGGGGGAAGAGGAGGAAAAGGACACCAAAGACACCAAAGACAAAGAAAAGGGAGTGGAGACCGAACAGGTAGAACAACTGAAGAACCGTATAATATATAATATTTTGGTAAAATGGCGTGGCAGACTGAGGTTGATGCGTTTAGAGAACGGTCTGTTGCTGGGGCTTAGACCAATTTTCATGCGTGGTAATGTTTATGAGTAGTTAAGTTAGAAAAATAAGTAAGCCAATTGAGTCAGAAGCAATGTATTGTTTTTCAAAAAGATCATTATTTAGTGTTGTTTTAGGTGGGACGTATCAAAATTTCGCTCTATGTGCACTTGTTCCGGGTATCCGGTCCAGTGGTGGGCACTCTGCTGATTATTCTGCTGGGCATGAGTGCGATCGCATGTCAAATCACAGCCGACCGATTCCTCACCTCCTGGTAGGAATAGGGAAATAAAGTAGCCGATTTCAGACTGAGTGTATCCAAGATGATCTGAAGCAGATCAATTGGCAAAAGTTTCTTCCAAAGAGAAGAAAACAGGCACTTGAGCAAGACTCAATGAGAAAATTTAAAAATGAGCGCGATCCTTAGCAAAATTTCATTGACGAAAATTTAAAATAGGTAGATTAAAAACTGGATTGTATTTACTCGTGTATGGTTTTTAATACATAATTGCACTTGTAGGTCCAGCAATAATTTGAGACGTGAAAGTACTGAGACGTTGACTGGCGACTCAACTTTAGTCAGGTCAAGTGGGAGGTCTTCTAAAAACGAAACGGTATGCGAAGTGGATCCTTTGGAGCATGACGCGGAATACATGCGCATCTACATTGTTTTCATAGCCGTGTTTGTGTTTCTCAATGTGGTTTCCTCAGCTACCTTCTGTGTTATTCTGGCCCGAGCCAGTCAGAGGATTCATGACTTCATGTTCACGCGCATGTTGAGAGTGGTCACGAAATTCTTCGATGACCATCCATCGGGTAGAATTATCAATCCTAGTAGCCGTCGTTGATAAATGACAATGAAGATAAAATATCTGAATTATAGGATGTTTGATTTAGGTCAGATCCTGAACAAGTTCTCGAAGGATGTGGGTATTGTGGATATTGACTTGAACAGATGCTTCTTCGATTTCTCCAGAGTAAGTCGAGCTACACATTTCGCCACATGATGTGATTTTTTTGTGCATGCATAGAGTACATCGAACCCTTGGAGAAAATTACGGCATTCCATTACATTTTCGTTAAATCGAATATTTCAAACAGCTTTTTTCGACTAAGAGAGAATTTTGTGGAAATCTTTATTGTATTCGATCGAATCACGGTAAAAAGGCTTCAATAAGATTTATCACTCGAATCAATGTGGCGTTCATTTGTATTGCTCAATTTTGTTAAAAACCGAAATCACGCGGGAATCCAAGATCCTTATCTCCTTCGACGATCAAAGCAAAATTGTTGTTTTCAACCATGCATTAAAACTTATCGTCTGTTGCATGTGCTTATTGTGTGTTAGTTGGCCTACATGTTCCTGGGCTACTTCATCGCCATCTCAATTGTGAATGCGTATGTGCTCTGTCTCAGCATCCCTCTCCTCATCTGCATCCTAGTTGTCAGAATGATATTCCTGCCCGGATCCAGGGCCATGAAGCGAAAAGAGGCTGTCGGTCAGGAGACATAACTTTAGATTTAAATTTAATCCTTTTTCCGAGGTTTAACTTGTGTACTCTGTTTCAGATTTAGTCATTTCTGCCCAAAAAATACATTTGATACCATTCCTTGATAGTTTTTTCAACCAATCTGACTCGAGCTCTGTAATGTGTGTTAAACGTTTTGTCCTTGAAAATCTTGTGTTACCATTAGTTGAAGGGAAGGGGATATATAACGGTGCTAGGTTTTATATCAATTCTGGAAATGTTTTTTTTAGCTCGCAGTCCAGTATTTACACACATCTCAGTGAGTCTGTCAAATTTGGGATCCATTCACGCCTACTGTCAAGAAGACTTCATGCGCAGAGAAATGGTGCAATTCATTGACACCCACACCGGCTTCTGGTTTCTCTTCGTGGCTGCCAGTCGCTGGTTCGGAACAGTCATAGACATGGTCATGGCAGTGTTCCAGAGCTCGACCATAGTGCTGGGGGTGTCGTTCTGTGTGTACCAAATCAATAACTTCGGACCCTCTGGATTGGGATTCATGGTGTACTATGTGTTTGCGCTGTTAGTCATTTGTCAGTATATGTTGAGACAGTCATGCGAAGTGGATATACTTGTAAGTACTCCTTTTATTCTGATCTTTTTTACGCCATCAGGAATTAATGGGTTCGACCCCCTGCCTTCGTCAGTTTTTTTCTTGACTGTCTGCTTGTGTTATAGATGACGTCAGTTGAGCGCATCAGAGACTACTATGATCTGCCGATAGAGGGCGACAGTGATGACGTCATACAGCCTGATCCCAGGTGGCCGACTAGTGGAAAGATAGAGCTGCGCCATGCTTCCCTCAAATACGACGCAGAAGATGGCAGCTCCAAATACGCACTGAGGGATCTCACGGCTATGATTGAGCACGGTGAAAAGGTACCAATTATAATAATTATAAGAAGCAGTATAAAAAACTAAAACGAGCTTACGATGGAAGGATGAAGTGAGAAAGTCCTTTGAGAGAGGACTCCAAAAGAACAAATTTAATAGTCTAATTGAACCTTTAAGAACTGATTGGAAAAACAGTGATCACTGTGATAACGTTCGTCTGTTTTATGAGTTTTCTTTGGTACTCGAAGATTTTACGTCGAACCTTAATTAGGGTTACTGGCATGAAATAACTACTCGTAAGTTTTTATTGTCATCAAATTTATTCATTCAGCCCAATTTTAAAATAAATCCGATATGCTTAGATCGGAATATGCGGCCGCACGGGTGCGGGAAAGAGCTCTTTGATTGTGGTGCTGACTAGACTTTTCGAGCTCTCTGAAGGACAGATCCTCATCGATGGAGTAGACTGTGCTAAGATACCTATGTCCACACTTCGAAAAGCCATATCCATCATACCACAAGACCCTGTTCTGTTCTCAAGAACTGTGCGAGAGAACCTAGACCCGTTCAAGAACTACCCGGAAGAAGTGATCCGAGATGCTTTGGAAAGAGTTGAGATGTTGGAACCCCTGGAGAGGTTGCCGCACGGCCTGGACACTATGGTAGCGGAGGGAGGTTCCAACTTCAGCGTGGGACAGAGGCAGTTGCTATGTCTTGCCAGAGCGCTGATTAGCGAGACAAAAGTATTGCTGGTGGATGAGGCAACTGCAAATGTTGATTTTTCGTACGTATTCTGCCTGTCATAAGTAATGGAAATAATTGATGTGTCTTTAGGCCCTAGATGAAAGAAATTTTTGATTTATCTTAATTGGATACATAAATTTGAATTCTAGGCGCTTAGTCTTGTCAAAAATAATAAGAGTTTTTACAGATGAATATGGTTCAGTCTAAATTATATGTTGGGAAATCTGTTGTCGTGATTTATTTGAATATGTGTAGAACGGACGAGTTGATCCAGAGGACTCTACGTGAAGTGTTCGCAGATGCAACTGTGCTGACCATTGCTCACCGACTCAACACCATTCTCGACTCAACTAGAATAATCGTATCTAGAATTCAAACTACTCAAAATATAATTCAAGACACTCGAATAAGTCACTACCTCTGCTTCACGACAGCTTAAAAATTACCAAAAAGCCCTATTTTCCCTAATAGTTCCACAAATCAAAATCGTGGTTTTTTGGTAGGTTATGATTTGAAAAAAAATTGTGCCTCCATTTGTCATTTTGTTGACGTCTTTTGTACGTTAAGAAACTTTTTAGGTTCAGCGGGCAAAAAATTTACAAATGTGGAAATCTTGAGCGTCAAAGGGATCTGATTCGTGGCCGTCACCGTCAATTTTTCCGTTGATCTAAAGTATAGATTGCCGAAGAGAAAAGATCGTTGAAGAGAAATTTTTGAAACATGAAACGATCTTTGTTTACGAATATATAGATGATAGGTTACAAAGCTGATAGGATCAATTAATGTAAAATAACGCGGTTTTATTCAGGTACTGGATGCAGGTCAAATAGTGGAGTTTGGGTCACCCGAGGAGTTGAAGCAGAAGCCAGACGGATTCTTCCACAACCTACTCAAACAAGGAGAAGACGATATGTGATCATTCACGCTCAAATATATTTGAACGAATTTAAAGAATGCACAAATGTCCAACATGCAACTAATGCAACTAACTTAACAATTTTTATAGGTTTTCTTCCATTTTCTATTCTTATAGGTTTTCTTACGGCCAGCTATTTTAGGGAAATCGGATCCAGGTTGTCGCTACTTAGAACTTTAAGTGGTTGGAAACTTTCAGTTATGAACAGGACTCGATTCCTGAAATCGCCCGCGCTCAGTAGCTATCTTCAATTTCAATTAATTCTTGACTGTTGTTATGGGCTATTTTATGCAGCAGCAATCGATAAATGGCTCCGTTTTTCAGAAATGTTGGATGTTGTATCAGGAAATAGAGAAACTTTCAACAGTGAAATAGCTGAAGATGGTTCTGCTTCTCCTCGGCAAACTGAGTCGGAGCTACTGATGCGTGCGATCACTGAAATTGTTCAGCATCTGATCGAGGCGGAACGCAAGGGACAAAATGTAGACTTGAACAAAGTGAAAATGGCAGTGTCTCGCAAGTATTGCACGCAACGACAACCGAAACTAGTTGATATTATTGCTGCTGTTCCTCAGCAACACAAGAAAACGCTGCTTCCAAAGTTGAAAGCGAAACCTGTGAGGCAAGTTAGTCGATAAGGTCTAGAGTTAAATCAATTTTTTTTCTTTTGGCTGACGCTTTTCAAATGACTTGTGTACTCAGGATTTTCGAAATACATGTTTTTCAACAACGATATATAATTTTTCTCCATTTTTGAATTCTGGGTTGACATTTTGCTTTATATTTCACGAAATTCAAAGCCTAAAGTCAATCTTATAGTGTTATGATATACGAAAGGTTCAATAGTTTTCAATCATTTATTATTTTTTTCCTTTCGTTTAGAACTGCGAGTGGTATTGCTGTAGTGGCTGTAATGTGCAAACCTCACAGATGTCCTCATATACACATGACGGGCAACATATGCGTCTATTGTCCAGGTGGACCGGACTCAGACTTCGAGTACTCAACCCAGTCGTATACAGGGTACGAGCCCACATCCATGCGAGCCATAAGAGCCAGATACGATCCATACTTACAGACACGTAACAGGGTAGATCAGCTGCGATCCTTGGGTCATAGTGTGGACAAAGTTGAATTCATTATAATGGGCGGCACCTTCATGTCACTGGCAGATGATTACAGAGACTACTTTATCAGAAATTTGCACGACGCGCTTTCAGGTTATTCAAGCTCATCTGTTGACGAAGCTGTTTTCTATTCTGAACGATCGAACACGAAGTGCATTGGAATCACAATTGAAACCAGGCCAGATTATTGTCTGAAGCCTCATCTGAGCAAAATGTTGACTTATGGATGTACGAGACTCGAAATTGGGGTCCAATCGGTTTACGAGGACGTAGCGCGTGATACAAATAGAGGTCATACAGTCAAAGCAGTGAGCGAATCTTTTCATCAGTCGAAGGATTGCGGGTTCAAGGTCATTTCGCACATGATGCCAAACTTGCCCAACGTACCTTTTGAGAGAGACCTCGCGCAATTTAAAGAACTGTTTGAAAATCCTGCTTTTCGACCAGATGGACTGAAAATATATCCAACTTTGGTAATCCGTGGAACTGGAATATATGAGTTATGGAAAAGTGGGGTTTACAAAAATTATTCGCCAAGCGAACTTGTTGATTTTGTAGCTGCAATTTTAGCTTTGATTCCGCCGTGGACGAGAGTATACAGGGTGCAGCGGGATATACCGATGCCTCTTGTGTCTTCAGGAGTCGAAAAGGGAAATTTGAGAGAGTTGTGTCTTGCTCGAATGAAGGAACTTGGCACCGAATGTCGTGATGTAAGAACCAGAGAAGTCGGAATCCAAGAAATACATCACAAGATTCTGCCGAATCAAGTGGAATTGATAAGACGTGACTACTTTGCAAATGGGGGCTGGGAAACGTTTTTGTCCTACGAAGATCCAGAACAAGATATTCTGATTGGGTTGTTGAGATTGCGAAAGTGCTCTGAAGATGGCACTTTCAGGCCAGAATTGACCGGAGGTGGAGTTTCGATTGTAAGAGAGTTGCATGTTTATGGATCAGTGGTTCCAGTCAATGCTAGAGATCCAAACAAGTTCCAACATCAAGGATTTGGAATGTTGCTGATGACAGAAGCCGCTAGAATAGCTAAAGAGGAACATGGGTCGTATAAATTGGCAGTCATTTCTGGCGTGGGAACACGAAATTACTACAGAAAACTGGGTTACGAGTTGGATGGACCCTATATGACAAAACTAATTTGATACTTAATCCATTTTTTGATTGTGCTTTGGTGATAGAATTTAGTTTTCAGCGACAGGTTCTGTTTTCATCGGACGCAGCAAATAGTTGTTGAAATATTTTCTTTAAAAATCTTAATTACCCAAATAATTTGTGTCAATGAACGTAGTGAGCACATTCATGTCTTATATAGAGCGTGATGATGTACTTTTTCCTGTTCCAGGTGAAAGTCTTATAATTTGATCAGCCTACTTTGATCTTTGCACTTGATGTACTTGATGTTTTTATAAATTAATTCAAATTCATTTGCTAAAGCGAAGGAAAAACACGCTCCTCAATTAAAAAGCAGAAATGGCGCGGCAAAACGTGAACTACCTCGACAGTTGGTTTTAGTAAGATTTCTTCAAGATTTTAAGTTCAACGCAGATTTTTTTCATCGAAGGTCTTACGTTGAAAAATCTCTGGAAAACTAGTCATCGTTTCTATTTACTTGATCTCATTAAACTTTTGCAACTGTTTGATGCTTTGTTGAAGAGTCTGTGAATGTAGTGAAGACTCTTATATAACTCGTGATGTTTTTTCAGGAAAAGTTGATATTTTGACTTTGACTCTTTTCCAACTGTATGGCTATTTTAATATTAATTCTGAAAATTTCAGATTCTGTCTAGAGTAGCTTTTTTTCAGTCAAGCTTTTTTCAGTCAAGCTTTTTTGCATTTCGGTATTTTTTCGCGTCAAGAAATTAAACGATGCCCCGATTTTGACGCTGACGCTAAATTTAAACAATTATTTTGTTGACCTGAAGCGAGAGGTCGAACTGCAGCTCTATTAACACACACTGTCCTACTTAAGCTCTATCGACAAGCAAAAAAAGAAAAGGCTGTAAATCGGATTTTTTTTTGCTCATTGCATATGCGAAGCGTAGTCAATTATTACGAAGTGTTTTCTTTTCTAACCGAAGTCGCAAACAACAGATCAATTGATAACAGTTTTGGTATATTTCAATTTAATCACGTTTAGGCCTATTAAGGCATGGGCAATTTAATAGCATGTGTTGCTGCTCTATTTGCGGCTAGTGTTCGGTCCTGTTTGAAAAAACGGATTTTTACACAGGCAAAGCTTGTGTTTTAAAATGAACTCTTTTTCTAACCTAATCGCAAATATTGTTGCGACGCAAATATTGTTCCGACGCAAATATTGTTGCGACGAAATGTGTTCATTTAGAAAGTTTTAATTTTGCCATCTATTAAGTACAGCCAATGCTAAGGATATTTACACAGACTATTTTGTTACAAATAGCACTTTAGCTTCAAGGTATCATGGATCTGTTGCGTAGAGGTAGGGAAGGAGACCCGCACCAAAATAAGAAGGTTCGAACCTGGGCGGGGTCGGATGTTTTAAATGAATTTTGTCGTATACTAGTTAAAATGCGTCCGCTCTATAAATTGAGGCATGTTATTTGGTTAATTTATTTTCAAATTGACTGCTAATGCGTCATAATTTGCTTGCGTCACTTAGCAATTATGTAGACTCATAATTGGCGTGCGTCATTTGAGATATTTTGTAGACTCAAAGTTTTACTCATTCAGTTTTTCCCAGTAGCGTTTTCGGTCATGCTTTTGCTTGTGTATGCGAAGTGCAACTTCGCCTGTGTTCACTTTGTTTTGCCTGTTTAAAGCTCCTTTTTTTCGTTTTCGATTGTGTTTGCGAAGCGCAGCTTCGCCTCTGTGTGTAAAAAACTTGTTCACGCAAATCACTGAATCGGCTTGCTCATACGTTTGCCTATTTAAGTATATTTTAAACATGTTGAAATCCTGTTTTATCGAAACTTTTTAAATGGTGGCTGTATATTTACCAGCTCAGGTTTAATATAATTTCGTTTTTTTTGTGCTTTTTTGGATTAAAAGAATCTGACTTTTTAGTTTCGCTCTAAGTGCCTAGCTAAGCGTCGTTTCATGAACGAAAAATTTTCTTGTGTGTGCTTCGAAGGAGAGTTTTTTTTGAATGTTTCATTGAAATTAACTCCTTTCGGCGCAAGATTTGTCAGTGTTTTTTTTTAGCGGACTGATTTTGTTTCGATGCATCAACATTTAGCCGCCTTACTTGGCATTTTTTGTCAAAATGAATTTAATTGAAGTCAAACTGAGACTAACATAGGAATATTTTGATTTATCTAATTTTTTTATGCTTTCGTCTAATTTCTGTGGGCTAGTTGTTCGTGCTATTTTTTGTATCACAAATGACGAGAAGCTCCGCTTTGTTTGTTTTTTCTCAATTTTTTTTTTAAAGTTGTATTCGGCTTGAATGTCTAGATTAGCTTTTTTTCAGTCAAGCTTTTTTGCATTTCGGTGTTTTTTTTCCGCGTCTGACGCTAAATTTAATCAATTGTTTTGTTGACCTGAAGCGAGAGGTCGAACTGCAGCTCTATTAACACACACTGTCCTACTTAAGCTCTATCGACAAGCAAAAAAGAAAAGGCTGTAAATCGGATTTTTTTTGCTCATTGCATATGCGAAGCGTAGTCAATTATTACGAAGTGTTTTCTTTTCTAACCGAAGTCGCAAACAACAGATCAATTGATGACAGTTTTGGTATATTTCAATTTAGTCACGTTTAGGCCTATTAAGGCATAGGCAATTTAATAGCATGTGTTGCTGCTCTGTTTGCGGCTAGTGTTCGGTCCTGTTTGAAAAAACGAGTATTTACACAGGCAAAGCTTGTGTTTTAATATGAACTCTTTTTCCAACCTAATCGCAAATATTGTTGCGACGCAAATATTGTTCCGACGCAAATATTGTTGCGACGAAATGTCTTCATTTTGAAAGTTTCCATTTTGCCATATATCAAGTACAGCCAATGCTAAGGATATTTACACAGACTATTTTGTTACAAATAGCACTTTAGCTTCACGGTATCATGGATCTGTTGCGTAGAGGTAGGAAAGGAGACCCGCACCAAAATAAGAAGGTTCGAACCTGGGCGGGGTCGGAGGTTTTAAATGAATTTTGTCGTATACTAGTTAAAATGCGTCCGCTCTATAAATTGAGGCATGTTATTTGGTTATTTTATTTTCAAATTGACTGCTAATGCGTCATAATTTGCTTGCGTCACTTAGCAATTATGTAGACTCATAATTGGCGTGCGTCATTTGAGATATTTTGTAGACTCAAAGTTTTACTCATTCAGTTTTTCCCAGTAGCGTTTTCGGTCATGCTTTTGCTTGTGTATGCGAAGTGCAACTTCGCCTGTTTTCACTTTGTTTTGCCTGTTTAAAGCTCCTTTTTTTTGTTTTCGATTGTGTTTACGAAGCGCAGCTTCGCCTCTGTGTGTAAAAAACTTGTTCACGCAAATCACTGAATCGGCTTGCTCATACGTTTGCCTATTTAAGTATAATTTAAACATGTTGAAATCCTGTTTTATTGAAACTTTTTAAATGGTGGCTGTATATTTACCAGCTCAGGTTTAATATAATTTCGTTTTTTTTGTGCTTTTTTGGATTAAAAGAATCTGACTTTTTAGTTTCGCTCTAAGTGCCTAGCTAAGCGTCGTTCATGAACGAAAAATTTTCTTATGTGTGTGCTTCGAAGGAGTTTTTTTTTGAATGTTTCATTGAAATTAACTCCTTTCGGCGCAAGATCTGTCAGTGTTTTTTTATAGCGGACTGATTTTGTTTCGATGCATCAACATTTAGCCGCTTTACTTGGCATTTTTTGTCAAAATGAATTTAATTGAAGTCAAACTGAGACTAACATAGGAATATTTTGATTTATCTAATTTTTTTATGCTTTCGTCTAATTTCTGTGGGCTAGTTGTTCGTGCTATTTTTTGTATCACAAATGACGAGAAGCTCCGCTTTGTTTGTTTTTTCTCAATTTTTTTTTTTAAGTTGTATTCGGCTTGAATGTCTAGATTAGCTTTTTTTCAGTCAAGCTTTTTTGCATTTCGGTGTTTTTTTTCCGCGTCTGACGCTAAATTTAATCAATTGTTTTGTTGACCTGAAGCGAGAGGTCGAACTGCAGCTCTATTAACACACACTGTCCTACTTAAGCTCTATCGACAAGCAAAAAAGAAAAGGCTGTAAATCGGATTTTTTTTGCTCATTGCATATGCGAAGCGTAGTCAATTATTACGAAGTGTTTTCTTTTCTAACCGAAGTCGCAAACAACAGATCAATTGATGACAGTTTTGGTATATTTCAATTTAATCACGTTTAGGCCTATTAAGGCATGGGCAATTTAATAGCATGTGTTGCTGCTCTATTTGCGGCTAGTGTTCGGTCCTGTTTGAAAAAACGGATTTTTACACAGGCAAAGCTTGTGTTTTAAAATGAACTCTCTTTTTCTAACCTAATCGCAAATATTGTTGCGACGCAAATATTGTTCCGACGCAAATATTGTTGCGACGAAATGTCTTCATTTTGAAAGTTTTCATTTTGCCATATATCAAGTACAGCCAATGCTAAGGATATTTACACAGACTATTTTGTTACAAATAGCACTTTAGCTTCAAGGTATCATGGATCTGTTGCGTAGAGGTAGGGAAGGAGACCCGCACCAAAATAAGAAGGTTCGAACCTGGGCGGGGTCGGAGGTTTTAAATGAATTTTGTCGTGTACTAGTTAAAATGCGTCCGCTCTATAAATTGAGGCATGTTATTTGGTTAATTTATTTTCAAATTGACTGCTAATGCGTCATAATTTGCTTGCGTCACTTAGCAATTATGTAGACTCATAATTGGCGTGCGTCATTTGAGATATTTTGTAGACTCAAAGTTGATTCATTCAGTTTTTGCCAGTAGCGTTTTCGGTCATGCTTTTGCTTGTGTATGCGAAGTGCAACTTCGCCTCTGTGTTCACTTTGTTTTGCCTGTTTAGAGCTCCTTTTTTTCCTCTTCCTCGATTGTGTTTGCGAAGCGCAGCTTCGCCTCTGCGTAAAAAACTTGTTCAAGCAAATCACTGAATCGGCTTGCTCATACGTTTGCCTATTTAAGTATATTTTAAACATGTTTGCATGTTGAAATCCTGTTCTATCGAAACTTTTTAATGGTGGCTGTATATTTACCAGCTCAGGTTTAATATAAT